TCGCTTGCGGCGGGTATCGCGTCACCTCCGTTTATCGTCGCGATAAGCGATTCGCGAGGAAAACAAGAACGATTCGCCTTTGTCTGTTGTGAATAACATCTCTTTCGAGATACGTTGCTCCTTTTTCTGCTTTCAGCAAATCGGAACCAGACCAGGCACGTGGCCACTAAAACGCCTGTTTTAGTTCCATACCCAATGGGTAAAACAGGACCCTATTACTAAGACTCCGCTGTCTGTCTGTCTGTAAGTCTGTACGTCTGTCACTGACCTGTAGCTCATGAACCGTGATATTAACAAAGTTGAAATTTTTACAGATGATGTACTTCTGTTGCCGTTATAACATACAGCGTGTTTTTACCATCGCGACAATAAATGAACACACATATAGAGGATAACTTTTTAAAATAGTATTAAACATTTACTTTCTTTAAACATCAATATTTACAGAGTTATTAAATTTTCCAAAACAAAGAATTTTAGAACATCCTTACGTATAAAACTGTAACTTAAAGTTCATTTGTAAAGGTTACAAAGCATATGAATGGGTTGAATGAATTTAAAAGAGACAAAACATACTGTTAGAAGATGCTGTGGCAACGAATGAAAAATTCTCTGAATGTATGAATCAGTCAGTTGTAGTTGTATAGGATGTTACAAATTTTGTTTCTTTTTTACTTAATTAGTTTGTTAGAAAAATATTTTTTTTAAATTATGGATTTTATTTAACGTTAATATTTTTTTATGATTATTGGCAGGTAGCGTTAGACGTGTGTGAATATTTGAGAAAATATTTGAGTGGGTCCCATACATGATTTTTTTTGCTGTTTTCATAGATCCGAATTATCGTTTGATGACGTTTTTTAGCACAATACGACTGCATACATTGTGAACAGAACTATTTCACGGAATTATGCGAAGTTGGTATTACCCGCACCAACTAATTTAAAAATCGGTACCTATTTCTACTCCTTGTTTAATCTTAGATGCAATCAACCAATACAGCTGATGTCAAGTGATTACCGCCGCCTATGGAAGTGTTCAACTTTCCTTTAGCAGATGCGTTGCCGGTAAACCGGTCTTCTGTGAGGCCGACGTGACTCACGGGATATGCCCGCAAAGTCGTGCAACAGCAACGATTTGCACAGTGGTATTGCCACGCAACAAGTCCGTCCGGGTAAGTACCACGACCTCACAGAAGACCGGCATAACTGGAAGTGTTACACTTCTGAGTTTTGTCTGGTGAGTGAGGTAGCCGGGGCCCACTTCAACTATATGGATGTAGCAAAAGTCCATGGGCGGCGGTTATGACTTCAGGTGAATCGCCAGCTCGTGTTCCACTTTATCACATAAAAAAAGCCCCGTAATTTCAGCCCGTATAATTTGTTACCAAGTAAACAAATAACTAAGCCCGTGTGACGAACTTCAATTCACTTCCAATTTCTAAGATCGACGTAATCAAAAAAATTAATTATGTTATCACCACAACCCCCGCAGCATCAAACCACCGCGTGAACCAGAGCATTATAATCTCGTTAAAGAACAAATCCAAACTAGAAACGAGATATATCCGAATAATTTCGGTGGGTCCTCTTGTACCAATCATCTCTATGCGCAACATCGTTAAAACAATCCACCTACAATTGTTTTCGTCTTATACAAATCCACCGTTGGTGGTTTCACCACCAAAGGGAAACCGGGGTTGCAAGAGCGTGGCTTAGACACTGTTCCATTCCCTGTACGATCATAACCAATAAGGCTGCTTGTTTCGAGTATGTGGAATATCAACGACAAAAGTAGGGGAGTATGGTCGTAGGGTTCGGTTGAACTTTCAATCATCCATGCGGGAATGATAGGCATATACGCTAGTCCCCTTATTCAACATCATCATTTCATCCTGTTCGATTGCACTGTTAAATATAAGCCTCGCTACATAGACTGCCACGAAGATCCTGACTCATCGGCACCCCCCACTTTTGCACAGGTCACTCCATCTAGTGGAGGTCGTCCTACACTGGGATGGCTATACGAGATCACCACTCGAAAACCTTTTTTCACTATTACAATACGAAAATCGATTCTGAATACAGCTATTACGGGTCATAGCTCAAATGTCACCATGCCTTACGCAATTATGTGACAGTTATTGACGACAGGCACATTTTATTGACAGGTCATCAATATAGGTCGTCATGTAGATATACCTAATGCTATATGAATCATGTGTCCATGAAGCCCGTTGTAAGGTAGAATTCTAATCTAAAAATCGACCTGCGGTATGTCTGGGCATATCTGATAGCGACGGCAAAAATAGTCTTTTAATTTTTAGTCGCATTCCATTGGATATAAGGATTTAAACTGAAATGATATATTAGTTCTTTGTAAGCTTAAGATTTCTTATATCAAGTAATGTGATACGGGGAGATTATTGCTGTTTTATTTGAATAACGGAAAAATTCTAAAGCTTTTTTTTTAACTGAAAAAGAGACAAACGAGCAAGCAGGTCGCCTGTTGGTGAGTGATCACCGCAACTCATGAACACTTGTAACATCGTAGGAGTCACTACTGTGAGTATTATAGGTTTTACACGTAAGGTTAAGATTGGATAGTAACAAATACCTTTCACGAGAACGTATCGAGGTAAAGGGCGGCTCACAAAATTACACACTTATTTATTAAGACATTTCATATATTAAATTCGGAGTGCTTTTTTTTTTTTCAAATAAATAATTTAATTTAATTATGCATTATGTCTCGTACAGGTGAAGTTTTATCACCTGTGAAGTCAAGCATGAGAATGACTCTCGAAACTCAATTAAACTAAACGAAATTGATATTATTGAAGTTATTCAAAAATGCTAAGAAACTGAAGCCATGTAGAAAAGTACGAATAACATGCCTTAAAACAATTTATTAATAACTTATATTAGTTATATAATTTCTTTTTATTTGTTGTGGGACAGTTCACATTGAAGAAATTAACGCCATAATAATAACCAGCATACTTGGTACCTACTCTTTAATTTAAAAGCGATTACAAAATCATTTCACTGTTCTATTAGAATAAATAAAATATATTTTAAAACCCTTATTAATAATAAAAACCATTAAGTACAATATAAATATTACGATTTCATTGAAGTTTTCAACGATTCTGGGCAAAGGCCAATGACCTAATGAAACTAGGAGGCCATGATATCGTAACTAAATCGGTCACTTCAAACTCAAAAAATAGTAAGACCTTAGTAATGAATTTAATGAAATGTAATCTGGTTCGAATTTCGTTTCTTTTCTCTAAAGTCTGACAATATAAAAGGGCTCACGGGCATAGCCGAAACATTTTTACCATATATCTAACAAAATAAAAATTTTAGGTCGACTGTTGTAATCTAACGCTATAATGTACATTTTATACGAAGGCATATGATCACAAATTTATTAATTGGAAAGTTAAATGTTCCAATTCTATTTGTTTTTTCTAAACTAGGAGAGTTGGTAACGTAGAACTGTACAGACATAGATATGTCAAGAGGTACCAGCCAATACATTGACATTTGGATTGCTCTTGGTTTGCACAGATTATCGCACAGGTCTAAGCATGTTATGCGACTGAGCATTATCTAACATCAACACTGCCTTAAACGATGCGTCTAAACAAAAGAGATGAATTGTTCTTTGTGTCAAACCGCTTTCCTGCGATAGAATGTGTTTTGACCCGCAAACAAAGACGTCCTACAAAACTGTTTTAAACCATTACGAGGATTCAGCTTTGTCTGTCTGCCTAGTCGAGGCATTCTTAAGAGCTTTTATATTGCTATTATTGAATAGCATTATTTAGTGTGTCACCACGGCGGTAAACGAAAACAACATTATATGACATAATAATGAATAGTATAACATTATTAAATTAAAGTATTAACGTTCTATAATTTCCTTGTGTAATTTCTTCTGCTTTTGCTACGTCCAAAAAAGAAAAAGATACAAAAATTATCCAATATTTTGTGCTTATTTCAAACTTAAGATTACTGAAAGATTTTAAAATTTACGTCCGAGATTTTAACTTTAAAATAAACCCGTTATAGGCCCTAGGATAAAACTTAGACCGACCTGGTATGTAGATTGTACTCTTTCAATAACAACAGTTATTTTTTTGAGAAAATTTATTAATAATTGACGTGTATGTGATGTCCGATACAATGATTGGCGGCAAACAATGCCGTCTGCATTTCGCCTAGTTCGTTCACAGGTTAATGACGCGTCCGATACAAAGAAGTGATGCTTTACGACACGCGACACGCGACACGCGACATGTGCCTCATGTGGGCACAAGTGTTTCGCGAGTATCCAATATCCAGTATATTTGCGAGAAAACTTTCGCCAACGATGGTCGTAGACTATGTGCAAATCTCAATCTTAAGGAGTTTTATGATTGGGAACGTAGAAGAGTAGTTAAGAACCAGTATGAATGGCCCAATCTTAACATTTCGAGATGGCTGAATCAAATGAAAAAGTTTAACCATAGATTTTCGACCATAATTGTACAATTAAAATTATTAAAAATTTTAATTATTCTTAATTTTTTTTACAAAATGGCCAATGCTTATTTATGATATTCACATCCGACCTGAAGGTATGATTTAGTCCTGGGCGGTAAACGCAAAATTTAAGGGCCTATTTGCTCTTAGGACTTCTATGAACCTGTGTACAAAACTTCCTAATATAACTACAAGCTATTGAAAATACATAGTTCTCAATTTGTCCTTTATTGTTCAGCTCCAGTCAAGTAATTTTACCCTCCCACTTATACGTAAATATATTGTTACATAAAATAAACAAAAGTGATCACCGCATTTTTTTGAATCGTAGCGAAAAATAGTAATAATATTTAAATATGTATACTCCTACACACGTTGCAACAGAGGTCAATGAACGCTACGACAATATTGACACGGGCAAGAGGAGCCGATATCGCGGCATACAAATATTGTAGCCAAATACGATAGATGCGGTACGTTGGGTTTAGGATCGATCCAAACATTCTGTTCCGAAAATTCTGTGGTCGTGTCTGGTTTAAAAACTGCCCTCAGACGTGTTCTCAACGTAAATCGAACGCTATCGACGTTTTCATCTAGATTAAGTTGGACGTATTAAATGTTTGTTTTTATTTGTTTAACATAAAATACCAAGCCTAATGATGTTAATATGTACTATATATTTCAGTTATATACGTGTAGTACACGGTCAATTTTTTATTTTAAACGATGTCAGCTAATAAAAGTGACATTATATTCAGCAAAACATTCTTCGTTAATGGAGGTTATGTAAAACGAATTAATTAATCCAAATGAAAAATGAGGAAGAAATGATTATGGATGTAGTATGTACCGTTTCATTCTTGAACGAAAGCGAAGAAAGTGTTAAAGTCTACTGCAAATACATCATTTTCATCACGCGATTAATATTGCGGAAGCGTTGGCGCGAAATCGAATCTTAACTTTTTTTCTTTCTCGCCAGCTTACGCCGCCGCAAGACATTCCTGCCGGCCAGTGTCTGTTACCGCAATCTTTGGAAGAAAAAAGTACAAACTGTCATGCGATTACACACCTACGACGGCGCTAAACATGCGAGAAACGAGACTCGCGTAAGCCAACTACGCCAACGTTTACCACCTTAATGATTTATGAATCGGGCGTAAACGATTGTATGTATGTATATCAAAACAAATACAAAACTCGTCTTCGAGAATTCTAAAATTTCACTATGGGCGAATTATACGACACGCGCCTACGAATGTCTAATGGATATTCAGAGATAGCTGCAGCCAACATCTATTGTTGGAAAGTTTCCGCAGCCACCCTTGTCTATATTTTGTAAACTTACTGGCTGGACATCCCGTCTGCCTATTTTTTCCGGTAACGGCCGCCATATTTGTAAACGTCCGCGCCGGCAGGTGAATGAATTTCGCGCAGTTACGGCGAATGGCGCGAGAATTGATTATTAGTTAACATCACGACTTGGTAGACTGTTTGAACGCGATACGGTTCGTTAGATTCGTTAATTCCATCGTCCAAATCAGTGACTTCAAATAGGATAATGTCTGATCATCGTAATGTCTCTTAAGTTTTAAAGATAAGATATAAATATCCAAACTTTTTTTTTCTTTTTTTGTTTCTACTACAAGAAAAAATGCTTTTGAAAAAATTATAGGTGTATACACAAACCAAAATATTACAAAAAGATAATGGGAGGTGGTAAAGTTATAGAGTCGTTGACGAAAATGTAAGATTGATACTGCAAATATGTTTTATACATAAAAGTAGGTACCAACAAAATATCGTTGTTTCCTATATAAAAAAAAACTATTAACATGTTCATATTAAGATGTGTCTGTCCCTTTTAACGTAGAGCATTTTGAATCATGTTAAATAAACATTTGAATGATCCTCCTTAGATATCTATTAAGGGCTTTAAGGTACATAGTCAGACGTGTTTGGTCCTAATACACGTAGGGCAACGATAATGTTCCTTCCTAGAGAATAATATTATTAGGTACATGTTTACTTAGCGCCGGTTATACTCAGGACCGCCACACGTTTAGGTATTGTCGTGGACAATCCGTTATAAATTCGTCATCTTCAAAGCTTACTAAGTACAGCTTCTGTATGACTGGCATTAAATAGTCACCCTCTTAAACAAAGGAACTGTAACCCCACAAGTTTTGCCAAGCTAACTGTCCCGTGGAAAAATTGCTTTGTGCCCATAAATTTAATAGCTTCAACTGACACTGCCTCTGAATTAAATACAACCTAATGGATCATTTTTAGGCAACCAGTTTCTTTACTAAACAACTAATCACTTCAGTACACCTAGTAATTAAAAACGAATACACAATACGACTAGTATTTAAAAAAAACTAGTAGAAGTGGAAGTGTACTGCGTTTCGTCTGATGAGTGAGTTAAATAGAGCCCATTTTATTAATAGGCGGCAAAGCATTTCTAACCCTCCGGAGTTGCAAATGTCCATGGGCGGCGGTTTACACTTGACATCAGGTAAACTGCCAGTCACTTGCCATCCACTATATTGACAACTAATTCCATATGTCGGTCCAGTGATGGCGAGAAAATTGTGGCAACACTAGCCCTATCTGATAATAATTATACGTAGTTACCTATACAGGCGGACACGTATACCTATCTCGAACCGTTAAGTAACATCTTGGTGCCCGCGATAAACACGTCCTTCTTTACTCTGAAAAGATAATATTTAATGGAATTCTCACCCGTCAGTAACTTCGTGCAGCATTTACTATCCGTATGTTTTCTGTTTCCTTAAGATCTAATTTATCAATCCTTATCACTTCGATTAATGTCATGGCGTTCGATATTGTTTTTCGGAAGATAATGAATTAATCAATAATATCATTCTTTTCTTAAAACACTAGCAAGCCTTTCAAAAACAACGTTGTCATATATTTTTTTAATCTTGGTATACAAGTTATCAGTATATGATAGATTAGACAGTAAAGATTATCTTTTAAATCTTACTAGACACATTTATTCTTTTTTATTTTTTTTTACGACCAGTATCCGAATAATAAAGTCGTATTTAGTCCCGGCCCGAATAACATTGAACACGTGTTGACAGATCGAAGGGCGTCATATTTGCCCAATAACATTTGGCCGATTGCCAGAGTTCAAATGAGAGGAGATGGGATCACGTAAATGTCGTTACTTCTTGTCATTTAACAGGCACGACGTATTAATAATTTTGGCCTTTAAAGAAGTTGAAAAAATACAAGTACATCTGTAGCACTAACAGTTGTTGACATTTAAAACTTATAATTTTCTCAAAGTGCTATTGGTTTTATGATTATCAATATTATGTTGCCATTAGTTGCCTTTTGCAATAAACAAACCGCTATAAAGAGAGGTGAGATAATATTTTAAATCTAAGTAAAAATCATCTCTTGTAAAGAAATAAGCCCAGGTCATTTAAATATAATTATTTTTTATTTTAGTCGGACACAGATTTTTACCAATTGAAATTATTACTTTATCATCATCATATCAGCCTGTTTGAGTCCACTGCTAAACATAGGCTTCCCCCACAGATTGCCACGAAGCTCGATCCTGAGCCACATGCATCCATCAACTTCCCGCACGCTTGCACAGGTCGTCACTCCATCTAGTAGAGGGTCGTCCTGCACTGCGATACTTATTACTAGTACTACATATATACTTACTTGACATTTACATATATTGTGATAAAAAAAAAAGTTCCGAATAATATTAAAAATGATAATCCCTTGACGGTTTAAGTTGATTATCGATTTCGGGCCAAGAAGTACTCATCGCTAATTACGTTAGCCGTAAATCTCCTAATGAGATCATTACTATTAAACAATTCACAGGACAACATAAAACGTTAGTATGACGCAACCACAACAAAATGTTTCATTTGCTTGTCATAAGCGTATAACTTTCCACGAAATCCCCAAATATTATTGAAACCCATTATTTTATAACTTTATTCAAATACTTATTCTAAAGTGGCTTTATTATCAGAAACATCCGATTTATTTTTATAATAATTAGAATTAGTTTGCTCTACTTTTGGGTACAAATCCAGATTTTATCGTTACATACTAATACAGCTTCATGAAGTTATATTAGTATGTATGCAACTATCTATTTACTTAAATATTATTGACGGCTAAATAAAATAGTTTCGAATAAAAAGCTGTGACAAATGTTATTAGCTTTTGATATCTTTAAGAAAGCTTTGTGATATAATACATGTTTTTAATTATTGTCATCTTTTCGAAACTCCGATATAATATGAGAAATAAAAATTACAAAAATGCAATGGCATGTAATTTACGCAACATTATTTTTCATAAACAGTACTTAATTATATATTTTTCATAAAGCCTATATTTGTGAAAAAAATATCAAAAAACAAATTTTGATAATAAAAAAAATATAGGAATCTATAGATAACACGTGGACTTTTTGTTTGATAATTTGGAACAATTCCGTAATTTAGTTGACATCTCCTTAATATCATAGCGCGCTCTTAACAATGATCCACCTGAACTCGCCCGCCGGACAATCTGTAGCAGGACGACGAAACTGTCGCTATCCCGCTCACTCATAATACGCGCGAGATGCGCTCTCTCCTTCTCCCCGTGCGCCCGGCCACCATTATCCACCAATCGGCGGCCATCTTCTGCTCCCCCGAGAGCAAGCGACAGTGCGTACTCTCATCACAATCACAAGGAGACGACATCTCGCCGCGCGAGGTTGTCGTTTCTGCGCAAGATGCGCCATATTAACAAGAGCGCGGGACACTAGTTTAAATCGAAATAGTGCCTTTATAATTAATTGTAGTGTAATTTAAGACTGGAAATCTGTGCTCAAAAATCAAGTTACTGTGTGAAGTGAGAGACTTGGTATAGATCCTGTGCAATTGGACTTTTCGTTGAAAATTTAAGCGGGCCGATATCGCGAAAATAATCCACGATTGGGTAAGTGTCGTCGTGATTAGATTACAATGCAAATTACGTATTTAGTGTTTACGGCTGCAGTCACCCTATACCAGTTCCATTGCATACTAATATAGTTATATACGCAACCAGATATTATAAAATACCCTAGTTGCGTTTTTGCCGAACACAAATAACGGACTATATATCGTTTTATAGACATTTTTAAAGTGAAAAAAAAAGCGCTAGACAGAAATAAAATCCCAATCTTAGGACGTAAAAAAGTCTCGAAGTTATGATGTATAAAAATGAAATTGCGTGTAGTTTGAAATTTTTGTTCTTTTATTTAGCATCATTAAACAATAATGTATTTAATTTTATAAAAGTGTAACATGGCAAGTAATCATTATAAAATTATTAAGAAATCCAAGCGGGTAGGTCAATTTAAGGAAGCATTCTTTGTTCTGCTTTTTCTTATAAGAAAATTTTGCATTAATGTACAAATGAATGATGAAATAGTTTTAAATTTATACTGAAATGTTGTCCTTTACCCAATTTATTGCGTAGACCCGACGGACTTGTAAACCTTTTTTTTTATTTGCTACTGAAATTTATATTTTTCAGAATTTAATTATTTTTCTTGCATTATTTAAATTGAATTATCTCATTATTTTATGTATGAAACGATAGCTTTGTGTAGTACTTTGTCCAGTTGATGAGTTTAATTTTAACATATTTTATTAGAACTCAACATAAACAAACCTTTAACAACCTTTTGTAAATATTAATTGTCAAATATTAAAAAAATTATATAATTAGAAACCTTTCTTCTTTTTTAGTTATTTAATTTTTCTAGCTCATACCACGGGGTTCCTATTTAGAGATGCATTTAAACTACGAACTTTATTTCTTTATTTAAATTGTCTATTCGATTAATCTATTAAGCAATGACTGAACGAACGATAAGTCATTGATAAATTGGGATGTAGACCCGTATTCATTAATATTATTATATTTACAAAGTTATGTTATTAAAATTATTGTTAATTAACTGACTTATTCACTTTATTGACTTAAAGGTCTACTTAAAGGTATTCTTCTCTAGCGTGGGCACAGTATATGATTTTATTGTATATTTTTATTGAAATCTTATGCCTTTCGTGCTTGTTTTACTGTGATACCTTAAATTTTAACAACAATTTAATAAAATCTGTAATAAATAAAACTCGCGTCTCAATAATTAGAGAAATGATTAGCGCAAATATTTGAGAAATAGCAACAAACTCGGAAATGAGCGCTTCAAATAAGTATTACACGAACAGTTTCATTGTCAACTGACGCAGTAACTTCGTGTGTCCGTTTTCAAATTGCAAAAATTCACGCAAAATAATTAACAAACAAAACTAACATGTCTTCACGAACTCTGTCCATCGCCGAGCACTCGTGTTGTATCAGGCACTCGCCATTACGTCCAAATTACCACGGACGGGGCGATAAAATCTCGAATCTCATCTCGAATTGAGACATATCTTGTAATAACTGCCTTATCTCGAGTGGTCCAAGATAGCCGGCCGCCGGAGAGAACCTCGAGAGCAGGATAACAATCTGTGCAGTAAACGCTCAAGTTACTATTAGCCAAGATATTATTATATCTTGTTTCGCTCTGTGATATAGACCTTTGGTGTGTTTACATTTGAAATTGATACAATTACAATGGTAGGGCTCAGCGAGTACATTGAAATGAGATTTTTTTATAGATAAAGGGTACAACGAAATACATAACAAAAAATCTACATCAATCTACAAAAACACATTTTAAGGTTCATCTTGTATGCAGATACTAACACTAAAACGTGAAATTAATAGTAAAATAGCAAGTAGTATCTATTAATATATCAATTTTCTGTAGTTCAAGTAGGTAGCTAGGTAGTAGGTATTAGAAATTGATAGTATGGCGGATCTTTACTTAAATTTCCTATTGGAACGTTCTGGTTTAAGATTTCTTATTGGCCAGAGGACCCATTTACAATTCGGTGATGATTTTAAAATTAAGTAAATTAAAACGCATTGCAACCACGCCTACATGCGTCTCGAAATTATCTATGCACCTCGGTATCTAATGTGATTGCTCAAGACCGTCTTCTGAGATGTTATGGCAACATTGTCACGAATTCACCGATAGCGGCGATTTTATGGAGGCAATGCGGCGGAATGGCACCTCGAATCGGGGAATATTTCGCGACGTTATCACCTTTTAATTGCCGACCACGTCGTCCATACGCTCGAGTTGACGTTTGAAAATAATAAAATCGAATTCGCAACACTAGAATTGCGAAAGGGTGAGTATCAATGCGACAGCTCCGTTCTGCGCGCTCGCTTCTAATTCAATATACTCGAACAACCTGAGTTCAATCTCCGGTGCCAATCCAACGTAATTGTTGATTGCAGTTTTAAGTGTCGACTTATCTTGTGCTCAGCTGTGAATGAAAACGTCGTGTGGAAACCGACACATTTTCGAAATAGTAACAAAAAAAAATATTTCGAAGACGTAAAGGCCGGCAATCCGCAATGGTGTCGCGAGGGCTATGCCATAATAATGTAATATCATGTGTCAGAGGAGGCCTTATAGGCTGTTACTTTACATTGCTTTACTTTTTACCATGTGATCCAATATGGTTATGATGACAATTCTGTATCCTGAGCTCCAGAAGCTGATGGGTTAGCGTTTGATCCTGGAGTATCCTGGAGATCTGTTAGAAGCGATCAAATTAATCTTCCCCGGTAATAATAACCCCTCGCGAGTGTTTTAATTCTAATGTAGACAGTGATAAATGCTGTTCAAGTTTAAACAAGCCTGCATAGTCAAAAATGTGAAATATTAACAGCGGAAATCGGTGTTTAACAATTGTTAAACAGCAATTTCTGCAGAAAGCAAATTTGAAAATCGACATTTCACAAACCTACCACGTCGAGATACGAGATCATTACTAAATCTTAAGTCGGACGTCCTATTCGCTAAGCCGTTGGTGCCTTGCATAGTCTTTACTAGTCCTCTTTAGGAATGTCGCAGCAAAATCAATAAATGATTTGATAGAATAGATTCTGCTACCAAATACTACTTTCATATAAATAATAATAGAAAATATGATGCATAAGAGATATAAAAGACATATTGAGCTCTATGTAAAAAAATAATTTTCTTCTCGTTTTATTACAAACGGGTGAATATTTTTTCCGTGGTAATTATAATAGGCTTAAGATAGATGCATGTTCACGTGTTGTCTTCAGAGACAATTGCACTGAATTCCTAACTACGCAAGGCATAATCCCCAAGCTTATAAATTTCGCTAACTCCTGGTCTACCAAAAAGAAAGTTACTTTAAAGTACTTTATTAACAAAAAAAAATTGGCTTACTTTACTTTTTTTTTGAGAAGTTCCCTGATGTATCTCCGAAGTGGAAAGTTCAATACCGATGCAATTAATATGGGACCCTAAACGGAACCGAATGCAGGAAGAATTTTTACGACCTGTTCATAAAGGACTGAGTTTTGAGGTTATAAACATAAAAACAACATAGTAAGGAACCTCCTTTTTGAAGTATGTTCAAGACGTCTGTATACAATGCTCGATTAAGGTTGATGTAGGCCACGCAACAGTCTTCTCTGTTTCACGAATGGGCAGGTCCGGGTAAGTACCACGACCTGAAAGACCGGCGTGAAGTAGAAGTGTTATACTTCTGCGTTTCGTCTGGTGAGTGAGATACCCGGGGGCCACTTTGTTAAAAGGTGGCAATGCATCTTAAACCCTACGGGTGTTGCAAATGGCGGCAGTTACCACTTATCATCAGTTGAACCGCCAGCTCGCTTGCTTCTCGCATAAAAAAATATATATCCGTCTCGAATTAGTCTATCCCTCTTCTTCTAGCGGAGCTAATCTTTGTTCCAACTGCGCATATAGCGTTCTATGTAGCCGGTGTCATTAGTAATTGTTGTAGATTACAGAAGTTGTCATCCGATCACGTCGGCCAGCGATAAAATGAAATCCTTGCGGACTGCGATAACGCCGGCGATAAATAAGAGCTATTGGAATCGTTAGTACTATACTTATTGGAACGGGTACCTTTGTACTGCACTGTGAGTGGCCACTCCTTAGCGGGGACTCTTGTTAAAAACTCCAAAAGGTTCATCACATATGCCCGGTTCCTATAATCAACTAACGGCCGTTAGTTACATAGCTTCGTAACGTTCATAAGGACTTGTAGATAGAAGGCGTGTACGCCCGGTTCGTATATTAACAAAACGAGACGTTTTCTTTACGGGCCGTTGGATTATCTACGGAAAGCGAGTAACTAACGTTTCATTCAACAAGTCGCTGTGAAAGTTACAAAGCTGTGTAACCAACGGCCGTTCGTTGAATTTAGGAACCGGACAATATGAGTGATGTTGCTGGCTTTTTGTTTACCGCCGAGCGAAATGTAAAGTTGTCACTGGTTATACTTATATCTTAAACGTCAGTCTACTTCCGTCGATGATTCCCTTTCTTCTATTTAAATTGTCATTGCTTACTACTGCTTGCATTGCTTACTCCTTTTTAAACGCTTCAAGTGTGGTATAGGGCCACGCAGGAGTGCTGTTGCGCGAATGGGCAGTCTCGTTTGGGGAAATGCTGCCTCGTAAGACCGGTATGAAGTGGAAGTATAATACTATAGCAGTTTGTCTGGTGAGCGAGGTAACCGGGACTCGATTAATTTGGGGTTGGCAACATTTGTAACCCTGGTGTTGGCTTCTATGGGCGGAGGTCATCACGTATGAACCGTCCGCGCGCTTCTCACCTTTTCATATTCAAAAACTTTTTTATTTCTTAAATATTTACCGTAGGGAATTTAATATTATTTAAGATCGCGTCGGGTTCCTTATTTGTCAGTTTCTTAACTGTTCGTCTGCTTCGCTGTACAAAGTTACCTACTCGTGAAAGTTTCTGAATATATTGCTTACTATTGTTTATATACTTCGACTTTGAAATAGATAGGACTATTGTGTGGTTCGAGTTAATATTAAAAAACGCATCGTCATGTATTGACCCTGTGACCGCCCATATGAAAAATATGCTCATTAAATATTAATGTATGTTGCACAATAAAAAACAAACAGGCCATTGCGTTTTTTCAGTCTGTATTTAAAGCCATTTAAGTACTCGGTATGCGTGAAATGTCGAAGATCTATTGACTGGCTATTTAAAACACTACGTCTCATTTGACTCCTTCGCACCTCCTTATTTTCTCTTTTTATTTGTCGATTGACTGGTAAAGAACACCTAATGGTGTTAAGCCCACCATCGTACGCTGTTATGCAAAACGGTTTTAAATAAATAAATAAATAAATGACGATGAATAAGTTAATGACGAAACAAATATTAATCGATAATCAAATAAAACTATTTTTTTAATCTATAAAGGAGGTCGGAGAGAGAAAAGAAAGACACGCCTATATGTCCGCGACGCGATTCCATTGCGGATTGTCATTCGAAATAATTTTTTTTTTAATTCTTTGGACGTTTCCATGAATTTTACATGAATGACAAGAACCATTTCATAGAATTTACCTAACTGTACTTATCTAAATACAGTTAAAAACCGAAACAATTCTCGGTCGATACAATCCTTGGATGCGATCCAGCGAACTTGTCTACATAAGTAAAATAATAAACGTTACATAAACATTTAAATGAAACGGTCATCCTATCGCAATGTGTATAAGTGAATCTTACAAGAAAGTTAATAAGATCACAATAAGATCCATGTTTGTTGGAGTTACCACAGATTATGATAAAAAATCGTATAAGCATTTTTATAGGAATGCAAAGAATTCGTCGTCGATACTTCATTAGGCGCAAAGACAAATTTTCAACTTTTAATTGTATGCTAAAACAATGGCAATGGCGTCGCCGTCTCTCGGTAGAGAGCCCGCTTATCGCTAAATGCTAAGATAAGTTATAAATATTGTATTACGACTCTTACAAGTTTCTAAGTAACGTGTAATCCTTGCCATCAAAGAGGCCGACGTCGGACCGCCTTTGTTCGATTTCAAGTCCGATTTGCGAAAAATGAGAACCGGCCGGTGTTCTGGAAAAGTCGACGCAGATAGAAAAAAAAATTAAATTTGTTGCATAGTCGTGATTGCATATTTGAAATACTAATGAGTGCTACAGCAGAGATCGTATTGTTTTTTTTTTCTTCATGCGGCGGCCAGTCTTCGTCCACGAAATTAAACGTGTAATTCTTTTTAAGATAAAAAATTACTTTAAGATGTTAATGTATCTATGTACAGCCTACTTGTCATTTTCTTCTCGAAAAGTATAATAGCTGAGATATGCCTATGTTGATTTTTTCTTGACTCTATATTTTAAACATAGTTTTCTCATATTTGTTCTGAATTATCAAACCGATGTTTTTTAATCGTCACCGATAAGATACCGCAAATTGTTATCGTTCCTTACAATCACATGCTGTCGGTAAATCGAGCACAAATCACATCGCCCGAATTATGCGATGAAACTTTTCTCGGGAGCGTACTTATAAATTTTTCTTATACTAATATTTAATGAGTCTAACGCTGGCCGAAAAAAAGAAAAAAGCTCATTGAAATACGTTCCATTTTCAAATCGCAATATATAGCATAAAACGATGACAAGCAAACGGCACAGTCTCTATATAATAGAGATGCACAGAGTTTTATAAATCGCCAAGTATCGCTATTTGCGGCGCATGCCGTGGGTTATTAGCACGCATTGTCTGCACTATAATAGGTCACTTGAGGTGCAGCGGACGTTCGACCAGGCCTTGTTGAACTGTGATTTATAACACTATAGTTATGGATATCTCAGGCTGTATAACTGTATGAAGACGACTTTACACCACACTAATTTAATGCATGTGAAACTATTCTTCGGGGCCCCTTAATGGTGGGAAGGGGTGGGGATGTAAAGGGGAGTCAATACTTAGGTAAATTACACAAATATACATTCCTATACTTTTTGTTATGAATCAATCGTATCATAATCTTTAAAATCTTGGCTGAATCTTGTTACAATGATATAATACGTTGAAGACTTTCGCTAAAGAATAAACATTCCATGCAGACGATTGATTCAAAAACTAACAAATTTTTCAAGTATCGGTCGGTAAGGTGTCCGAAAAACTTATGACTCTTTCGTGTTCATTGAAAAAAGCTCTCTAAGTCAGTCCCGAGAATGGTGACTGTATTGAATAAGACAGGTAGGCGACTTCATAATAAATGACTGGTGCAGTAGTGAGGAGGAAGGCGACAAACTAGAGGGCCGTGACTCAGTATCGATGCCTTTGTCGCGGGCTCTGGGACAGGTGGAATGGTGGCCGCGTCCATTGCGTCCTCTGTGGTATCTGAAGGGTAAACAATGTCATTTCGTCCTGCTGGAAATGATTTTAAATATGTTTAAACCTCATAGAAATTTCGTTTCCCAAATATACCGCTGGTTGTAATGATACGATCGAAATGATTCAACACAATGTTCAATGACGACGTTACTTTTGCCTTAAAATATGTCCGCACAGGCTTATATAATTGCGATCAAATAAGGGAAAATAAATAGAACGTTTACTAGTTTCGTAGCATAGTTCGTTTGATCGCAGCTAAGTATTATTTTCTATCTTTATATGTCTACGTGTTCTTAGCTAAATTTTAAACCGATAAGGTCTAAAATTCAAGCTTACTTTTCAAGACTTATTGATATTTTATTGCAACGCAGAACGATGCGTGTAGCAATTTCCCTAATAATGATAATTGTCGCAATAGAGATCTGAAATATCTTTCTAGAATGTGTCGCAAATCTATACTAAAAAGTATATGCTACCAATAGACATGACGTCACTATCTTGAACTGACGATGATTTCTTTAATCAATCCGACGGCAGCGTATTGAAATATATCACCGAAATAAATAATTGAAACGCTGAATATTAATCGCTTTCGCGGCTGAGAATATTAATTAGTCGTCTGGCTTGCGCTACGGGAACCGATAATGCGAAAAATTTGTAATGTATCTCGTGTAATTGTTTTAATTTCGACTGCTAATTAGTGGGATGTATTTGATGCAACCAAAAAATAGATTAAATGAACGTCATCACAATTGTCATAACTTAGAACGAACTAGCTTTTCGCCCGCGGCTTGAAGCCCTTGAATGAATGTCTTTCTAAAAAAAGAAGGAAGTACCACGACCTCACGGAAGACCGGCGTGAAGTGGGAGTGTTATACATCTGCATTTCGTATGGTGAGTGAGGTAACAGGGGCCCGCTTCATTAAAAGCCGGTAACGCATCTGCAACCCTACTGATATAGCAAGTGTCCATGGGCGGCGCTTATCACTTAACATCAAGTAAACCTAGCCCACTTGCCTCAGACTGATTGAACATTTGACTCTTAAGCAGACTTCGAAATCTCTAATGGACCCACATTAACAAAAACTTAACCGTATGATATAACAACAATATCATTTATAGACATAAGCCCCAGCCACGGGACTTCAACAGAGTGATTCACAACTGCAACGTCCCTGTCGGGGCATCCCACGATCGCCAATAAATCCGCGTTACCCTCTTTGAAACGACTCCTTAAATATGAACTTTTTCAGGCGCAGACGCGTACGCTCGTCGCGGGCAATGCAGGGAGCCGCCAACGCCCCGGCGCCACCCGCGGCCGAGCCGCCGGCTCAGCAGCGTAAGTAGAAGCGAGCCCTAACACAATCAAGCACAAACAGATGGCTTATGCTGACCCATTTTCCTTTTCCGCCCTGTACATTACGAACAAATGAGACTTGCATATGGGGATTTGAAACCACGAACATAGATTCGATTCAGCCATCGCTGCCTCAAAGTACATTCAGATTTCAGCTTCAAGTGTCCTAATGAATAATTATTGTCACTTTTTGTAAATACTTCTGCTTATTTATACCATACTGAAATTAAAATTCGTTGTACTGTGGTGCCATCATTAAAATATTAGAATCAGTTAAAGTGTATACTAAAAGGTACAAATCATGTAGCTTTAGAATAATCATATGATTGTGTTGAAAGAAGAATCATTTTCGTAAATTTAGAAATGTCTTTTTCTACTTTTGTCTGCCCTTTTCCCACTTAGATGGGGTCGGCACAACATATGAATCATGTTGTTTATGGTATTGGCTAGGTTTATTAAGACCGGCCACCAGCCTAACGTCAACCCTTCTCTCAACTCGACACGTGCGCACCGTAAAGCGGTAACCCGACGAGTGACACGCGTTTATTGCGAGTCGCACCTGACACCGGGCAGTTTGCTACTACCCTACGCGGCTTAAGTTTACATCGCGCGATAACCGGCCTGCAAACGGACTCCACGTCGCATTGGGATTGTGTCAGACGACGCTTTATATTCTCGTTTTTGCTGGCCAATATAAACCCAGGACCCAGTATTATCTAATTTATCTAAATGAGGTTTTTTCAAGCGCTTATCAACGTCATAAGTTTCTGTTTGTCTCGTATGCATACCTATACTAATCTGATTGTGAAAGTCAATACGTACTATTGGTAACCCTATACCTGCCAAGATCTAGCCAGATCAGTCAGTCCGCAATTACCATCAAGTGAAACTCTTTAAAATAAAAAGCGCAAATGCTATGAAGGACTTCCTTTGTACTTGAGAAAGAATATAATCAAGCTAACAGGAATGCGACGATCTTTAACGTTTCCATCGGCATTCGCCCTATGCGAAAACGATTGCGAAATGTGAATCAGTATTCGAGAAAAAGCATCCACATTCCGCTTCTAAATTCCTATTATGCAAATGCGATTTTTATGGTAATACCAGGCCTGCTGCAATGATAAACTGTTTATACAAACGTGGAGCAAACTTCTGCGCTATAATATTATAAAACGGTAATATTTTTTTATACCACATCGGCAATCTCCTAAATTATTGAAGCGATTCTGAATAGCTGTAATCTAAATTGAACTAAAAATACACTAACTATTAAAACTAAAATATACGCAATAAACAGTTTTTTATCGTAACGTACTAACTGTCCTCGTGGAGCTGGGCAGGCAAGTTATACGAGTAAGCATCGTAGCGTTTTATTCCATTTTATAAGTAATTATAAATTTCGTAATGAGTCGTTTATTGAAATTACGTAACACTAACAGTAACTTGCACTCAGCAGGTCAATCTGATGCTAATCGTGTCTGACTGCGCTAGTCAAGTTTTAATTCTCAGTGATCGGCTAGACAATGTCTGATATCTCGTTACTATCGTTCAAAGCAACAGCCTATATAATATGAACATGCTGGCTAGGGCTCCATTCACGCGTGCACTGCTCACTCTAAATGAAGTTGTCACAGAAATGATTTTATCATAGTATCCCACTACGTGATATGTTACATATAAAATTATAAGCATGATTTTTTTACTACATTCTTACTGCGTTTAATCGGTTTCCTGGAATTGTTAGCTTTTATTATTTGTTTCGACTATTTTATAACTTTAGGCTACACCATCGCATTGGGTCAGCCTGTAATGATAGTTGTGTGCGTGTGTGTAATAAATAAATGAATAAAAATGTCCGATTGCCGGTGAATCTTCAATCAAAGGCGATCCTTTACAGAGGGCATCAGGGCATAGTCCACTACGCGACCCCAACGCAAATTGGCAGGTACTTCTGTTATTTTTTCGAAAGTATGCAGGTTTCCTCTCGATGTTTTCCTTCGCCGTTAATCACGTGATGAGTCGTCACAAAAATTTTTTTTATTGGGAAAAAGGGGCAAACTCGCAGAAGGATCACCCAACACCAGAGGGCTTACAAATGCGTTGAAATTTCAGTTAACAATTCATTTAGTACCACCGTGAATAGAACTCTGGTTGCTTGACTATATTGAAGCGTCCGGACACTGAGCTATCGCGGCTTTGTCAATGCTAGATCGACGGGAATTCGGTTTGCTCAGCCGTTTTATCTCGAGAGCGGTGGACCACATCCCTTTGTTCCGCGGCACTTGTGTCCACAACGCATCTCGCCTCGATTCTGAACCTATTTGCCCGCGCAATGCTCTGTTTGCGTTCGTATCTTAACGATGCGGCTACAAAGTTCTTTGTGATACCAATGTCGGCCATATTGTGTTTTCTACGAGTGGACGAGCTACGAACTCGGTGTCGCGTGGCATGTGGTCGGTTTATACGGTCGCGTCGGATTCGAATCTCTATAATCTTATGCATACAACTATTATTGTATCGTTGTCATAAATAGTACGATTATAACTCCATGAAATTTGATTCTAAATAAGTGTAAAAACATTTTCAACAGATTCAAAACAAGAGGTAAAAAAAGAACAACGTTGTTTGTTATCTCAGAACTCCGTCATTTATGAACCGATTTTAAAATTAGTTTTTCAAAAAGTTAGGTTTTATCTCTTATGTGCTCTCTTATGTTAATTTCACTGATAATGAACCCTCGACTTCGGAGATATTGAAACTCCCAAAATAAAATAGAAAGTGTAAATGAAATATTTAAAGTATTTTTTTAATAAACCTTAATTGTTATTACGACGAGTACCGAAATACTGTCTAATTGGTGCTTTCTGAAAATTTTTTAAAATGTGAGAAGTTGGCAAGCGAGCTGCCGGTTCATATGGTGTCAAATGGCAACCGCGGCCCATTGACATTTGCAACATCCGTAGCGTTGGAAATGCGTTGCCTTTTAATATAGTGGGCCCCGGCTACCTCACTTACCAAACTTGTGCGCAAGTTTAGCAATTCCACTTCACGCCGGTAGTCTGTGAGGTCGCTGTCGAACAGCGAAGACTGTTGCGTGGCCCCACGACAGTGATGGTTCAAATTTTTATAATGTTTTTGGTGTCAACTAACTACGAGTAGTTATTGTGGTCGTCTTCAAAATCCTGTTATTATTCACTGTGACTTTTCAACATGTACCCGTACTGTGACTTTTCAAAATGTACCCGTTTACGTGGCGTCAATTAAAGTTGGCTATTGAACTCGATCGTTTGGCGTGGCACAGATGATTACAGCGGGACAAACGGACAGCGGGTCTTAGTGGGTATGCGTCAAGTGCGCTCGGCACAAACAAAAGGAGCGCTCGAAGTAACGGTCCCTTATCAGATAAGGGGTTCCGGCCTGAAACGATTGGGCAGAGCGGGCGAATTTGGGCAGTCGATAGTGGAGATGAGTAACCGACCCTGGGCTGTTTGCTCAAGTCGTGACGTCATGACGTGGTGACGTCTCGCTCACCCGCTTCCCGACCGGACGAGATAGTCCGATAATTGGACGAAACTTCTAGATCGGGCCTGTGCTATCGCTCTGAAATCACCTTGTCAAAGCACGATATTTGTGAACTAAAATCTACTTACATGTTTACTTGTCGAAAAACTTGAACGGTGCAACTAAGGTCGCACTCGGAGACCTACGTTCATTTGCGAACTCGGCAGATAACTCAGTGGTGCTTCTTAGTAGGTGTTAATTATTATCATGTAAAAACGATTTCCCTCATTTGTTATACCTACTCTAAAAGGATTCTGGAATGGTCGAAGTTGGACCACAATCGAAATATATTGAAAATTCGATGAATCTCTCCTTTTAAACATTCTTGGAGTGTGCAAAATAGTTCTATAATATAAGGCAAGGGAAAAAACTTTTGTTGATAACAAAAAATGTTTTTATTGATAACGACGGTGCTCGCTAATAGCCAATAAACAAAAAAGAATCGCTTGAGAATGAGGCATCGTAATGCTTTTGACTCTTTATGATAAAGATCGATAAGCCTAAGCCTGTAATAATTCAAACATATTTGTTCTATAATTTATTAATATATTCGCTCTTAACGCAAAAACTCTTGTAAAAAAAAGTAAAGTAAACCTAAAGCAACCCACACATGTCGAACTGCCGGGCAAACCCCCTGTGCAAAGGTTTCTAAAACGTACAAAAGCTAGGCTGTCATGACTTTAATTAAGAAATAAGCAACAACATTTCGCGCTTAAAATTGAATTAGTTCTTCTTTTTCCACTGGGCGAGGTAACGTATGCCAACCGTTTTAAGGGAACGAAACCGACCCATAGTGTTGGACGTCCATAAATGGCGGGTATCGTCAGGCAAACTGGTCACATTGTCTTGTAAAGGCAACCAGATTTAGAAAAAGAAAACACGTCGCTTGCACAAAGAAGCGTTCGATTTTTAAATAATCCCCGACGCGTCCCCGCGCCTTGATGGGTATCTCGCAAGCGCGTCAATCTTCCCTCGGACGTCGGGCGTCGAGGTAAACAACCTACTAAACTAACTTCACGCGCGATGCACCTCCAAGTTAAATGTACGCGTTACGTGACGTATTTGCCAATGCCCGGTGTGCGAGGGACTTCCGAGGTTCGGGGAACGCATCGCGTATCATAAGCCAGCAATGGAGCTTGTCAAGAGTGAGAATCTACGGTTGGTGACGAGCTAGTTCCTCCGCACTCTTCTATCGTGTGAAAATGAAATTAGCAATACAGATAAGATATTCGTTTCCGACGTTAAGTAATCCGAGCAATGTGACACATAATTATAAATTAATTTACACACATCCACTATTGACAGTATCTTGATGACTCCGTGGCGCAGTTGCCAAGGTATTGGCTTCAGTCGTGGGTTTGATTCCCACGCGGGACTATTATTTGTGCAACCCACAGACAGTTTTTCCGGCTTTGGATGTTTGTCCACGTGAAAGTATGTAAAACGTTCTTACAGCACAGGATAATGTTATCCTAAACTTAGGGCAATGATTTAAAAAAAAAAAATAACTAACTTTTAACTATTGTAACATATTACAAAAGACCATAATTATATGATAATGTTGAAGCTTATCGAACTTTACGTACTTTATATTACACCCAGAATACCATTAACGCCATCTAGTGGCGGCTGTAAAAATCGCAGCTAAACGGTTCATTTGTAAAATTGTAACTGCGAAATTTTTATTATAAGTACATCTAAAACAGGAATTACACCTTTTATAATATTACCTTTAGCTTCTGAATTTATTTCTGGTTCATTTTCGATATCGCAAATTACCCTGAATCTTTGATATTTATCGTAAATCTACAGTATCATATACCATCAGCCGTGATACTAATCAAGCAGTAGCAGGTTACGATTAAATATATACGTGTGATATTAAACTATGCGTGTGAATACACAAACAATTTATAATCAGTTCGACGATTTGAATATTTCGTCTAATCGACGCCCAATCGTACACGCTTTTCTGTCGGAGAAAGCGTTCGATCGAAATTCGCATTTTCGAACACGCCGGCAGCCTACAACTGTGAAGAAAAAAATGCGAACCTGATTCTTGTTGCAAATCATTAAACCAGATTATGTGCAGTTAATAACAGATTTAGATCAATCGTGATTGTCTTTTAATAATCTTTTACGTTTTAATATTAGTCGGAAAAGTCGAAATAACTACCCAAGTTTACATTGTACACCGTGCTACCAAGTTTTATTAATAACTTATTTTTTAGCTTAAACCTGTTAACGAGGTTTATCATTATTGCCGTACGCTGGTTTAGCTTAATGAAATTGCCCGCCTTAAACAAAATTCGTGAGAGTCCAACTTCATAACTGCTTATAGCCAGGAGCGGTCACCGTTAAACCGGCATCATGCTGGCGCGGAAGACCCGATCCTGACATGCATTCTGATCGATCCCAACCAAGATGGCCGACGCGCCGAGCAGCCTGCGCGTCAACAGATACAATCTGTTACGTATAGGAAATTTCAATTTGATAACAAACCGTCCTAAATTTTCATTCCTGTAGCGTTACATAATTTTAAGCGGACGTTATTGTTCATAAGATTGTGTAGCCTTTGGTTAATAATTTTACACATACCAGAAAAGGCATACTCCATTTCGGACTTATGTCATTCAAAACGAGAACCGATTTCTTTCTATGTATTTTTCATTTTTTTTAAATGCTCTGTACATTGCAATTGAACAACAAAGCCGTACGCGGAAATTTGCTGTTTATGGGGAACGCAAAGGAAAACTACGTAGTTGGTACATACTGTCCGTAGATATATATTAGTGTCGCCCGCTTGTGACAGCAATGATGGGTTAACGTTCAATTAAATTTCTCCGGACTCTAGTCCAATTGCGAACGGGACGTACCTAAGAGCGCGGCTATCAATTTCTAGACAACACGCGGCCGGCACGCGACTATCGACCTTAACTGCATGCGGCATAAGCGGCATAAGGCGCACAATCCGTCGGCTGCTTTCGATATGCCCACCGCGGTGGGCAGGTAATTGTCGATGGCGACACCATAAATGAGGGCTTGGAGATACGACACGGTGTAATTCAGTACCGTTGGCGCTCATTCGAGTGTGGAGGAAAGCAGCGGGACTCTGGGACGCCGCCGCCATATCAATCAAATCGCTTTATTATATGCGGTGTCCGCGTATTGGGGTACACGCGCGGCGCCTTACCGGCACGCGATACGGGCCATAGTCGTGTGCCGCGTGCCGTTCGCGGGCGCACCTTGCGCGCCGGGATGGCGATAGGTCGATTTAAATTCCGAATAAGAAGGAAGGAGGAAGTCACGACTGGCGCATCTATGTCACACCTTTTCTCCGTACACGAAGTTGACTGAACCCCGCCGTGGTAGTATCGACGGAGTTTTAACATGTACCCGTCCGAGCGTTTAGGTTTTAAGGGAGTCTTTGATTACTTATCATGTCTGTTTGGAGAATGTTGCAATGGTTTTAGATTGGATGGCTATTTTGCTCAGAGCTTTTAAGAACTCCATTTAGCGGAGGGCAAGTTTTGACGTTTCTATACCATACCTTACAACAGTTCGAATAACAGAAAATTGTCTTAAGAAGTCTAGGAGACTTAGTCAAATAATCATTTTTCACCTCTACACGTGACAGCTACTAACTACTACTAACACGTGGCAGTAATTTGCCAATAACCTATCTCGTAAACTCACTTATATAATAAGCAAGTAGTTCGTTTTATTCTTATTATTATCAATTAATTTAGGATGGTCTCGTCTGTCCCAAATAGGTTTCCATTTCAGGATTAGTTTAAGTATTACGGCTATCATGAAGCCATCATAAACAATTTATTAGCAATTGATGTCCTAATTTATGTAATCAGATTATGAAAGCTTTGTGTACGAAATATAAAAGGTTCATTATATTGACGGAGACTACCTACATACGCTCTACGACCCAATAAAAGACCTAACGATTTCAAACTCGAACTCAAATAGATCTCGAAGTGACCGAGTTACTTCGTTGCTCGAACAAATCTTATTTCATTTCGCTTCTGAATAATACACTGCGTTCGGAACTCGAATGAAGACTGCGACTTCGCGGCCAGTGGTAATCGTTAGCGTTACACAAAACGCCGTGCAAGGAGTGCGGTAAATCAGCACTCGATTTACCGGATTTCGGCTAACCGAAAATTCGCATTTCTCCGTTCGGTTTCCAGTGACGGGTGCGCGTTTCGTCACGTAAGCGCGAGCCGACGGACGCACAGTTTTCCCCGTAGCGCTCGCGTTGCGTAACACTGGCCGACTGTTACACCGACGCGAGCGCCAGCGCATGGAAATGATAACGAACTTTGAGCGAGTGAACTCGCTGGCTAAGCGAACGAAGCCGTAATAATAAAGCGTAATAATATAAATTGTGATATAATAATAATATAAATAATATTTATTTTATATAGCGTGTCGTTACAAACGCGACAATAAATGAACTTACATATAAAGCATAACTTTTTAAAATTGTATTAAACATGTACATTATTTAAACATCAATATTTACAGAGTTATTAAATTTTCCAAAACAAATAATTTTAGAACACCCTTACCTATGAAACTGTAACGTAAAGGTCACAAGGCATATGAATGGGTTGAATGAATTTAAAAGAGATAAAATATACTGGTAGAAGGAGAGATTTGTATTACGACGCTGTGGCAACGAATGAAAAAGTATCTGAATGTATGAATCAGTCAGTTGTAGTTATATAGGTTGTTACAAATTTTCTTTCTTTTTTATTTAGTTTGTTTGAAAAATATTTTTTTTAGTTACGGATTTTTTTATCTTTTATATTTTTTATAGTTATTGGCAAGTAGCGTTAGACGTCGCGGTTGTAACGACACGCTGTATATGCAATGTGCTATATTTATTTTTATTTATTAACCCAACCAGACGATAAAACAAATAGATATCCCCATTAAATAATGAAAATGAAGGAAGCTTTAAGGTGCACTCCTGCCACGTGACTACTTTTTATATCAAATAAATCACTAAGTCACATCGGTGTGACTGAAGCCATGCGCACTAATCGACACATAATGCAACCAAATTATGTAAACTGATTATTTAGTAGGGAATTTTGAACCTTTTAAGTATCCAAAACTCGCTAAGTTTAGTTAACGTTGTTATCGAGGTATTTTAATCATTTTACAAATAAGTATCCCCTCTATATCCTCTCTATAGAGGAGGCCTTTGCCCAGCAGTGGGACATGTATAGGCTGTTACTTTTTACTTTACAAGTAAGTACATTCGCCAGTTCAATCATACATTCGTTAACATCCTTCCTTATTCGACTCTGGTTAAAATTTTCATTAACAAGAGGCTCGTGCTGGATATCAGCCGGTGGTAAATGTAACGTCGACGGTAATTATGGCAATTATTAAAAAATGTTACGCGTTAGAAACGTGTCGTTTGCCGTTATAGCCGAATTTTGAAAATGGAATACGGACAACTGGTAAAATAATTTCGCGTCCGAGGTAAACGCGCTCGGTTAGCCGGCGGGTAATACGACACGCGCCGCCCAACCGTTATAGCCGAATTTTGAAAATGGAATACGGACAACTGATAAAATAATTTCGCGTCCGAGGTAAACGCGCTCGGTTAGCCGGTGGGTAATATGACACGCGCCGCCCACCGGATGTTTTGGACTTCGCGAAAGTAGTGTGACAATGAAAACGGACACTGCCTCGGCATCGGAGTCCGTCTAATTCATGAATGACGCTATCCGATCGCGTTTTCAGCGGGTTTTCTGCAAACGACGCGATAAATGCCGGCGTCTGTAGGTATGAGTCGCTTTCGGTGACCTTTCTAATTCCCCTCTTTTCGACCGACTTCAAGAAAGGAGGAGCTTTTCGATTCGCTCATATGGTCTTTTTATGTTTGCGACGTCAAAACCCATTAATATGAACAGACTATAAAAAATCTTTTCGCATTGGGTTCGGTTAAGTTCAAACGCGGTCTCATGTTAATTTCATCGGTAACTCCTTAAAATCAAATAAAAAACGTAAAGTGAGTAAAGATTTGAAGTCGGTTTCGATTTTGGTTAATAAAAGTGTTACACGCTAAACGGGCTGAAGACAGACCAAAAATAACTTTGTTTCAAAATTAAATAAATAGTTTTGTTTCATGTCTTATATCAGGTAACTCATATGTTGATATAATTTTGTGACGTATGACGTATATATATGTATATAAATATAAAAAATTGAATGAATTGAAAAATTCAACATGTTGATGTTCATAATTCACTGTGTTTTGAATTTGAAGCTCTGCTAATGCGATGCGTTTTGCGCGACTACGACGTAACACAAAACCGCTTCTCGCGTCAGCGAATTCTGTATTTCAGTACGTACCTAAATAATGCGCAAGGAATCATCGTTCCCCGGTCGAGTCTCCGTTCCGACTATCGACTAATACTTTTGGTTGATTATCCCGATGTCTCGATTTCGACTAAAGCTCGATAATCGAAATTTTTTGGTTCTGATCGATAACTAAACGTCATAAGTGTCATTCTAATCTGTATTTAAATTCACCTTATTTACGTATTCAAACACAGAAAGTATGTCCATGTACCATGCATGTTGCAATGTTTCATCGGGAATAAAAGATCAAATTGAAAGCGATGGTCTTATCGAAATGTCCACGTTTAAGGATATGTAGTTATGCCAGTAATTCAAGAGACCTCGGTGCCGTTTAAAGCCGATATATTGAATACAGAAAATATTCTGTCCCTCGAAAACGGTGCAGTGTTTTTGGCATGCATAGTATTTGCGTATTTTTTTTATAGACTTGAACGTTTAATTAAAATACACACTATTAAATACCTACGTTCTATATCTCAATTATTGTCACTTGAACATTCCAAATGATGAGGATTGAATTGTGATTTATATTATGTGTTGTTAAAGGGAAATATATATCAATGTTTCAATTCAGCCTCCATGTGATTCACGACATGGAACACTCAGGGAATTTCTTAGACCGCATTACCCTGTAATTAGGTCAATAATTTTTTTTGCGTTAGCATTTACGTCATCCGAACTACCTACAGTTCGCGACCGCTCCGTTAATGAGGAAATATCGTAACGTATTGCTATAATATTAATGTATCTGTAATTGACGCGAGCGATGCATGGATGCAATAACATATTGGGACAACCGAAAATTACAGATCTACTATTTCGATTTTGCGTAATAAGACGGTTTTTTTTGTTGATAATTTGATTTTGTTACGAGATTTCGTGGAGATTCTTAACACGATGTCTTTGTACTAGGTAACTTTTTAACTTAAGCTGTGGTAGGGCCACGCAGCAGTCTCGGCTGTAGCACGAATGGGCAGGCTCGTCTAGGTAAGTACCACGTAAGTGTAAGTATGACAAATACTTTCGCGTTGCGTCTGGTGAGTGAGGTAGCCGGAGGTCAATTTTCAAAAGGTTGTCAACGCACCTGTAACCCTCGAGTATAGCAAATGTCCATGGGCGGCGGTATTCACTTAACATAAGGGAACCGTCTGCTCGTTTCGCAGCTTTTCACATCCTAGAGTAGTAGTAAGAATAGAGAAAATAGTTTTGTATCTGAATGTATTTTATTGCAAATTAAGTTTTAAGAAAATGTGACAAAACTGAAGCTAAAATAATATAATTCTGCAACCGTATTAAGTATTTACATTCGATAGATTGTAGACCCACCTAAGATTTGTCTACGCGTCGGGGCATTCCGCTAGTCACAAATGGTTACGATCGCTTATTTTATAAACACCCTTTATCGATAGATAAATGTTTAAAGTGCAAAGCGGGGTTTTCCCCGTATTTCCGAGTAGGTCGCGTCTCCACACGAAAGCCACGTCAAATCTGCAAGTTTAGGTAGGGTTATCGTAAATCCGCAATATCGAGATTCGAGAACCTCTTATCAAGCGTCGCGCTTTTCATCGATTTGATTCTGACCGAGCCATGACTCATTGCATACTCTGTGCTACGGTCACAGCCAATAAAGAATATCGCGGACACAACACACGAGTAAACAAGATACGACGTAATATTCGTCCCAAAGCACTATCCCATATGCCCCGCGGACGGAATTTCGTATGGAAACAAGTATATGTACATAATTTTCGTTTGACATACAATATATATAGATTTCGGGAGATAGTGCTATATTTATGGCTAGCTGATATCCGCGACTTCCTCTGCTTTGCGTATATATCATGCGTTCATTTAGTTGCTACAAACTTATTAATTCAAGTGCATTGTTATTCCAACTATTCAATATAATCCCTTAAAATCTTTCCAATCCTGTTTTCACTAAAGTTCCCCCGTAGACAAAAAATTGGTAAACTATGCTTGTATGCTTTGTACGTTTGTGCTTGTATGTTTGTGCTTTGCTATGCTTTGTACGTTATGCTTGTTCTTTTACCATATTTGATTATAATTAACGACTTATTAAATCTTCCATTAAAAAAAAAACAAAGTTATATGGTGTTTTAATATGATTCATTAATAAGCTTTCAATGTGTAAAATTCTTTGAAATAGTTAAAAAAGAAGCTCTTTAGTTCATTTTCTCTTGCAATATTGAATAGCATTTGTCCTAAAACTGATGTATATAGCGCAACCTACGGCAGCCGCCATTCAGGGAGAGTAGGTGTCGGGGTATTGATTTTTCTCCCACTGCCGCCCCCGGGGCGGGCTCCCACCGCGCCATTCTATCCGCTACATAATATTACTATATAGCAACGCCAGCTTTAACTACGACGTACCTCAAAACAATACAGTCTGCTACAGACAATTATATTGTTGATTTGATAGCTTGCATTCCATCCAGGATTATGAAATGAAAGCTTTTAAAAATACGTTATTTCTTTGCTAACTGCGCTCTGTGTATGACTTCACGTGGCAGATTGTTGTTCTATTTAAGGGAACAATAAAGGGGAGTTAGCGTAGATTTTTGCCGCCTATACGTGCCTGACATTTGGCACGTCTGACACAATAGCAAGCGGTGAATCATACGTCGAATTGTTGGCTGTGTTTTTATTAAATAATTCAGCCGCAGGACTTTGGTCCTTACGTCCGGATAGCGTTAGAAATAAACAAAGTGTGACTAGGTCGCCGCGCGAACAATTACTAGTATCGATTCGAAAACGATGATCGTATACGAATGCGATGGAACTATTATTTATGAAATATCAATTAGCTGATTGTACGGACGTTTTCAATGCGACATCTCATTATACCGCTCTAATAAAACCTCCACGTCTATGTTACAAATGAATTGGCTGACTCAGTCCATTGTCGGTTTCTCGGAATATGTGAAATGAAAGCGTTATTCAAACAGTACGTAATTGTAATATTTTGCTCTTTGCCGTTGCAGAAATCAAAGCGGAGGTCATCAGTGAGGCGAAGGTTGAAACGGACGAGGGCCAGGGCGGGAGGATGAAGTTGGAAAACGAGCCCAGGGCTAAGCGCACGACCAGCATCGACAGCGACAACAGGTCCGACCGCAGCGAGGACGAGGAGGCCAGACGGTCGCGGAAAAGGGCCGCCTCGACCTCCCCCTCACCCATTCCACTCGACAAGAGGACGGCCCGCTTCGAGTGTCCGAAGTGCCTCCAGCGGTTCGACTCTGTGAACGCCTTCGACCTCCACCGCTTCACGGCGCACGGCGATGAGACCAGAGCCGGCTTCGACGACCTCACCTTCGTCGACTTCTCCAGCAAGAAGTTCCCCGAAATCGCTCGAGGAGTATGCGAGCGGAACACCCACGTGTCTATAACAGAGCAGCGCTACAAATGCGATCTCTGCTCGCGAGAGTTCCCGTGCGGCCAAGCGTTGGACATCCACAGGAAGGCCTGCTCCAACGCCGCCAGGCTTGCCAGTCCGGAGCGCGAGCGCAGGGAGGACTTCTTCGCCAAGCTGGACCTTAGGAACAGGTCGTTCGGCATCCCCGGCACGCTGACGCCGCCCATGGAGAGGTTCACGCCGAAATTCGACGAGGGACACATTGGCGGTAACGGGATCAGACACATGGACGCCGCACGGGACCTGGCCGATATCCAGTCGATCTTAAACGTCACGTCGGCCGGCAGCCTTCTAGAGAGACTGACTGGGACGCGTGTGGCATTAGAGAGCACCGTGCTCACTCCCCCCGACACTATAGTGAAGGACCGCGAACCGGAGGAGACCCAGGACAACTTTGCGGCGGAGTTCAGGCGAATGAAGCTACGCGGCGAGTTTCCGTGCAGACTGTGCCCCGCCAAGTTTCCCAATCTGAGGGCGTTGAAAGGACACAACAGGGTGCATCTAAGCGGCACCGGCCCGGGCCCCTACCAGTGCAACATGTGCCCCCACGCGTCCCTGGACAAAGCGGCCTTAGTCCGCCACATGCGCACCCACAACGGTGACCGGCCGTACGAGTGCGCCGTCTGCAATTACGCTTTCACCACGAAAGCCAACTGCGAGCGTCACTTACGTAATCGTCACGCCAAAGTCACCAGGGAGGACGTGAAGCGCTCCATAATCTACCACCCATCCGAGGACCCGAACAACGATGAAGTCAATTCAAAGCTGGCTCGGGATGAAGTTAAGAGGTCGCTTGCGTTCCACACTCCCGATATCGAGCGCCGGCCCGACACAACGGGTCGCGAGACACCATTGACTCATTATGCGCCAAGCTTCATTACTGACAGACACCCAGTCACAGCTTTAGCTACCAAAACCTTGCCCGAATCGCCGTCTTTGACCCCGAGAGAATCTGAACAAGCCCTTCCTAGAATTAAAGTGAAAGGTATAGGACAGCTGACACAAATTCCAGAGTTCAGACCGCCAGAGATCACGTTCAAAGCCAACGATGTGCCGCTTGAGCCGTACGACGAAGATGCTCCGGTTGATCTGAGTACAAGTGACAACAATAGCTGCGATGTTCTGGATCTAAGTAAAAAGAAGCGAGACTCGGATGAAGATGAACCCAAATCGATACCGAGGCCAGCCTTCGAGGCCAACAGCACTGCATCCGCGGCATCCGCTGCTGCTACAGCCTTCGAAAAGACCAGGTTCCTCCTAGCTCAGCAAAGACTCTTCGAGACGTCCATTCCAAAGATCGATCCAGCTTACTACGCGACACAGCTGTCCCAACTGTACGCTGGCGCGGTCCCCGGCCTCCCAGGGCTGCACCTCCCACCGTCAACCTTCCCCATCAATCCATACTTCCTCCAAACGTCGTTTTTTCCCCACCCAACCGATTCGCAGGAACTTGCCGAGATAAAGCAGCGCATACAGAAGGAAATTATCCGCGGTCTCAGCATGTCCGGCGGTAGACTGGTCACCGGCGAACAGGAAGCCCAACCCAAGCAAGAGCCGGAAGAGGAAGACCAAAAGCCCGTTCAAACCGCGCCGCCCACCCCGCCCCCTCCCGAATCTCCGCGTCCAAACAACAGCGTGATCTCTCAAAGCGACTCGGTCAAGATGGTGATAAAGAACGGCGTGCTGATGCCGAAACAGAAGCAGAGACGCTACCGCACCGAGCGGCCGTTCTCGTGCTCGCAGTGCTCGGCGCGGTTCACGCTGCGCTCCAACATGGAGCGGCACGTGAAGCAGCAGCACCCGCAGCACTGGAGCGTCCGCAGACCGACGGCCAGGGCGCCGCCATACCAGACTCCTGACAATTTGGCTGACCGCGTCAAGTTCGCCCTACTAGCGCGCCACTTGGAGAGGCCGTTAAGCGAGCGCTCGCCCATACGCAGAGACTCTGACGAAGTGGCCGACAACGAGGAAGACGAAGACGACGCCCTCGTGATCGACGAGGAGACGGAGGCCGACGTAAAACCGGAGCGCACGGCTGCCCACAAGGCGGCGGCGGAAATACTGATGGCGACGCGCCAGCAAGAGCTGAACAAGGACTTCGACCTGAAGATCGCGGGCAGCTTGATCAACAAACCGCCCCCGGTGGCCGAGAAGACGGACGTGGGGACGGACCCCGTAGTGAATTCCGAACCGCTCGTGCCAGTGGTCCCGACGCGCAGCGACGAGGAGGAGGATGAAGAGGGGCTGGTCGCGTCCACCAGCGAAGGCAATAACTCCGGAAGCGACGAAAACAAGTAAGTATCCTGTCTATGTAAGCCTGATACATAAAAAAAACAAAAACTCTGTACCTCAGAGGCATACAATCGTAACTCCACATTTATCGAAATTATTTCTTTTTACACCATTAAAATCGCAAGAAGAAATTCACAATAGTATAAAGCATTAAGTCCTACGATGCCTAATTAATAAATCATCCAATTGTATATGACATGATAATCGATAATGCATTCAAGGATTAACTCACGCATTTTTGCCTCTCGTGTTTGCACGAAGAGAAAATTCTTTTTAATATAAATAAAATATTTATCAAAAAGTTTCAAGTCAAAACTTTTGATCCCTAAAACATTTAAGATATTTTTATACCCGGGTCGTCTGAGTTTGTGGTACTTCCTAACAGCGAAAGCTGTAGCTTGCTACGCCACGGTAAAAGTTAACGTCTTCCCCTTCCAGATCGGAGTCCGACACCGGTGCCGTGCCACCGAAGAAGAAGTCCGCGTACAGCTTGGCGCCTAACCGCGTCTCGTGCCCCTACTGCCACCGCAAGTTCCCCTGGTCCTCCTCGCTCCGCCGCCACGTGCTCACGCACACCGGCCAGAAGCCCTTCAAGTGCCCGCACTGCCCCCTGCTCTTCACCACCAAGTCCAACTGCGACCGCCACCTGTTAAGGAAACACGGGGGCTCGGCTAGGGCCGTGCTAGCGGAACCGATCGCCGAACCCGTCACCCAGCCGCAGACTGGAAACGACACTAGGGCCGTCCCAGAAAGACCGTACAAGTGCGCCGCGTGCCCCACCAGCACCTTCTCAACTATGGACACCCTAAAGAAGCACATGTCCTCGCGCCACGGAACCACCGATTCTCGTCCCGTCTCCCCGAACCCCGAGGGGAACGAGGAGGCGCCCGATGCCCTGGTCTTCAAGTGCCACCTCTGCGAGTGCTCGTTTGGAGACAGGAGCGGGGCTCTGGCCCACCTGGCGGCAAAGCACGCGGCCGAGTACGAGCAGCTGGTCAGTAAAGGCGCCCTGGACGGCACCAGCGACCGCAGCGAGAGCGCCGACGACGACGACAGGGGCAAATTCCCCGATCACGCCAACAGGAAGGTGAGTGTCTGGCCAAACAGTTATGCAAAGAGAATGTAATCACTACGTTTTGCAGTTATGCTCCAACGCCAAGTCGAACTGTCACACGAAACTGAATTCTGAACGAACAGAAACAAATCTACGTTGTATTTACATAGTGATGTAAGAAAAGCTTTTTGAAAAGTACAAAGAATATAACTAAAAACTATAAATAGTTAGACCATGAATTTGGAAACATTTGTAGACCTTTCCTCATTAGATGGACCTCTTAAGAATTGTTAAATAATAATTGTTGTGGGTTGCAAAAAAGTTTTCTGACGTCGATACTTTACAATTACTTTAATGTTAAAACTGACTGCCAGCTGTTGAGTGCTGCACGCTAACGTACGGTGTGCCCCGCAGGTTGTGTGCGCGTTCTGCGTGCGCCGCTTCTGGTCCGCGGAGGACCTGCGCCGGCACATGCGCACGCACTCGGGCGAGCGGCCGTTCGCGTGCGACCTCTGCCGGCGCCGCTTCACGCTCAAGCACAGCATGCTGCGCCACAGGAAGAAGCACCGCGGCGAGGCGACCGACGACGAGGAGGCGTCGCCGCCCGCCACGCCGCCGCAGCGCGAGGCCGTCGCTAACGGGTGAGTGGCAACCCTAGATGGGGTAGTGCATAAAGGAATACCGCAAACCCTAGGGGGCCGTCCATTAACCACGTGGGGCTCGAAAGAGGGGATGGGGGTTTGGCAAAAATCACGAAATTTCACTAGGGGGAGGGAGGGTGTTTAGTAAGATATCAAGTGTTTTTCGTCAAACGCGCGATTTCTAAACCGAAAAGCAGTGTACAGTCTGATCTTGACTCGCCGTTACATTTTTATCGAATAAAATTTGATCATACTCTAAACTTGTATTTAAAGATGATATTCTAAAAATCTTAAGATTCTTCGTGGGTACTATAAACGTGATTTTGGTTGGGAGGGTTAATTGGAGTCTTAATCTCACCACGTATCACCAAAGGGGTGGAGGGGCTTAAAATGCTAAAAAACCTCACGTGGCGAATGGACATGGTGGACTCGGGAATAGAAACGTCGATAACCCTAGGTAGTTACCTCGACGGGAATAAATCTACAACCTTATGTGTAATGTGCGATTGAGAATTTGTGTATTGACAACCCTAAGTCCGCTCGACTTTTGACGGAAATTTAACGTATACAACCCAATGTCGATTACTTTCGCTTTTAGACAGTGTTATGTGGTCTTAATTACCCGTGGTCAAAATCGCTGTCAGCAACTACATCACCCGTAATGCTTTGCATTTGCACGCTACAATTAGTCGACACAGCCGACCTAAATTATTATTCTCAGTCTCAGGTCTACATTACTGGCATCTCTATTTATACCGTTAGGCTACTAACTCTGAAATTCCAATTATTACTATGAAGTCTATAATCGCAGCGAATGCGAAAAGTCAGTTTTATGGTCCTACCGTATTAATAACCCGTAACCTTTTCTTAATATTGTATCAAAATTAACAGGATTAAAAACTACACTGAAATTTTTATGAGTATAAATCGTTACCATAAATTTTGCGTCGTTAATGTTTATTTTCCCTAATTAACTTCCTAAACAGAAATTAAATTTACATTTAGAATAAATTGACCGCTAAAGGTCGCGTTCGCACCTCTAAGATCGTGTACATATTTTCATGGTCCTCAGTCTTAGCTACACGTTGTCCCAAGAACAATATTACATGTCGGAGTCCGTTTCAGATACCGCTACCACGAGGACGACGGCTCCGGCAACGAAGTGCCCAGCAACGTGAACAACAACAACTCGCCCCCGTCGGCGCCGTACGGCAAGAAGCTGAAGCTCGAGATGACGTCACGCAAGTACTCCTCCGAGGCGGAGAACGACGCGGAGAACGGCGGCGACCTAATCGGGAAGCTGCTCGGCATACCGGACAAGACGATCATAAACAAATTGCTCTCTTCGGCCGACGAGGCGGCCAAGTTCCTCGGCGTGAACAAATGAGAGTACGCCTTAGTCCTCGTGGCGCCCGCCAGGCTCGTCCTGGTACCACGTGGGCTAATGCGGCCGAACGGATTGGGCACAACGCCATCTGTCGACGAGTAGGCCAACTACGGCGTGAGTTTGCAGCGCGTACATTCGCTTCTCGGGCCCCCTTCGTGCCTTTGCTTAATGCAACCGTCCTTTTCAGCCTTATTGTTGTTATACATTTTTGTTTTTAAATATGCGGGTGACGAGCAACGAATTATTTATGCCAGTTTCTATTAGAGGGAGAAGTAAAAGTACATTGTTATATATTTCGTCTTTATTATGTCGATTAATGGCGTCGTTTTACTATATAAGTAATTGTGCCTAGGTTAAGTCTATAGTTCAGACGCACCGATATCTTATACATAACACGCAGGAAATATTTACTGAGATAACTGCGAGTAGTAGCTTAGAATTATTCACGTATGCATTTTCATCTAGTCGTATAACCATTTCATTCCGATCTTCGAAAGACGTTTTACATTTCCGGCGCCGGATTTCTACATTCAGTTAACTCTGTGACATGTTTCAGACAAAACTTATTTCGCAATTCAATCCAAATTTTTCTAGTCAATTTCTTAACTTTTAATATTGATCCTAAGCTTAAAGATACCAAAATATCAATAGATGTAATTGCATTCAATTGCTGTGTAAGTATTTTTTAAATTTCAACCTCATGTTATCCTACCAATGAATAGTTGTAGGTTTAGTATTTCATAATTAATCGTAGTTCTACTTTTAACTTAAATCTTCTTGACGTGAATTTAATATATTTCTCTACCTTTGAAAACTTCTTCAAACTTCACTGCTTTCATTTTCTTTGTTTTCTATACAACATAGTATTTATGAATGCTCGTTTTAAGATAAAAATTTTATTTGCTCAAATCCATGGCATTTTATTAATCAATTATTAAAGACTTGAAAATTAAACGTTGCTTCTAAGAAAAGTTAGGATCTCTCGTAAAAATTATTTGCGACGTAGGTAATATAATTGTTTTTCTTCTTTTTTAATTTAGACCAAAGTTTTGGTGGACTTTAGTTTACCGCGTTTTTCTTTGTTAAACAATTATGTGACGGCCAGGTTATTTAATTAAGATATCTTTATAGTAGCATATTAAGGATAAGAAATAATATTGTATAATTAGTTTTTCGGTGCAGCAATAGTTAGTAGGTAAGGGAGTTTTGAACTCTTTTTAGGTTAGTTTAATATTAAGAATTGTTCAGTCTCCCCATTTGTGGATTGACGAATCATACGCTAGAATATACCTAAGTTCGAATGTGCTTTGTAAAAAAAATACGCTGAATATACCAAATACAGTATGTTTTATAATAGATGGATATAGATTATGAAATATATCGTTCGCTTAGAATTGTAGTCACCGCTTTTAAGATATTGTGTTTGTCGTTCATGAATATTTTAGCTTAGATTACTAAAATGGTGTTAATATTAAAAGCAATATTGTAATTATTTGAAAAAAAAAACATATTTTAATTGAGTAAATAATTGTCTTAAAGTAGGTTTGCCTTTATTATTAATATATACAATTGTATTATTTAAATGGATATCCTGCTTGATGTCAATTATTGTTAAAAGAAAGATGTAAATTATATAGTGTAATTATATTTATTTCCCTTCAAAGTTTAAATAATTTTCTAGTATCCGTAGGGCCAGTAATAATTGGAACTAAGGGATTTTTTTTGGGAGTATTAAGAATAATAAAATTTTCTTAAGATTAATAATTATATTAGATCGCGTACTTAAAGTAAAGTGGTATAGTATACTTTTACGATAGAATTTAATTTTAAGACTGGCAACACCGCTTGGCCTTTCAAATGTAGTTTTGTGTGTTTTAAAAATTGCTGTTATTTAAAAATTTATATCTTAGTACTGTTAAATTTTACCAATGTAATTGTATGTGTGGTACTTATTCTATTATAATAAGACAATCACCTTTAGCCTCTCTTTCTTTTTGCAATAAGAGTGTCGTTTTAAAAACGTTTTTGTGAAATACATTGTGTATTAAATAAAGAAATATTGCTTTTACGTGTGCCTTTTTATCAAAAACTACATGTCATTCTTAGCACTTATCGGAAAGAATAAAATTAAAGTATTTATAATAATGTAAACTACATATATACCGCCCATATTGGCATCAGATTCGCCACGCGTCGATAGATGGAGCCATAAGCTCTATATATAAATAATACTACCAAATCTAATTTACCTAAAGCCGGACCACGAACAGTCTTGGCCACGACCGAGAACGAGAATGAGAACTCGACAAGGTTTTTATTCGAGAATGGCTGGACCCGACACCGAGATCTCGGTCGGCCCCTAATGGGCCTAGGTAATGCGGCAGGCTAAATTTGCCTGGGTGCCCATTTACAAAAGAAAAATATGTTTAAGTATATTCATCAGTTACCTACTACCATACTTTGCTTTGTTTGCGTCCAACAAATATGTCCTGAATATTTTTTTTTAATTTCAGTACAAAATTTACCCACTTCCCTACGATTTGACAGTTTCAGCAGCTCGTGATAGATAGCATTATAGATAAGATTTATTCTACATACCATATTTGTAAAATGAAGAAACTAATCCTCATAACAAATGTACATTTTTATCAACAAAACCGACAAATATTTTACTCTATGTTCATTTTCTCATGATTTTGAGGAGTTCATTGACGTATCTTCGGAATCTTATAAATTTGTATAGGACCAGATGGGTTTTAAACAGAATAGAATGCAGAAACGATTTTAAAAATCGATTCATTAACATAAACTCATAATCAATTCATTAGTAGTAATCCAACCAATAGTCCTGAGTTCCAAAAGTTGAAAATATAGTTAGTTACTAGCGGACCGGGTAGACGTCCTGTACACACGATTTAAACCCCAAAACTTAAAAATAATTGTGATTCTAAACCATTCTCGAATCGATCTGAAGACACACAAAAAATTTCATTAAAATCTGTCCAGCCGTTTAAGAGGAGTTCAGTGACACAGACCAATACACACGTACAATAGAATTACATAAAATAGAATATATAACGATAATTATTAAAATTTAAGAATATACTTAGTCATTTTTCCCGTAATATATCTCAGTTTAGTGGGTATGTACAGGTAGTATAGTAATGAAACCTGGATTGCACCCTGAATATAACAAATCCACATTTATCCACACTAGATGTCACTTTAAAAGGCCATGACATCAACAGTGGAGAAGCAATATAAATTACCTAGGTGTGCTAGTATCTAGTTCTTGTGCTGAATAATAGGTGGCGCAACAACGATCATTCAAAGGTAAAACAGTTTTTTATTACTTTTTCAATGAATACTTTATTAGAAAAGTCTCATTTAATGTTGTTGATATTTATTAAACAATTAAAGAAATTATCAAAAAGTTGCAATACTACGTTTTGGCTTTCATAATTTAATCGAAGGCTACTTACTTAAATTTATTATTCTGAACGCACTTCAAAATGCTTTTACCAAATGCTTAGCAAACCAATCAGACCATGGGGATGCTAAGTTATAAAATTTACCTGTTTTATTCCTTATCCTATTTAAAATTTTACACGCAACCGTTAAATGTTATACAATATAAATCAAGATCATAAAATGATATCGAGATTCTACTGAATGAAGGTATCTATTTATCGTGTAATAAAAATATTTGATTTTTTAGTTATCTTATTAAAATATTTTACATTCGTACTCAGGCATTAATATAATAATACAAGTATCCTTTATTTATGAAATGAACTAATAAGGAAAAAGTGATAAAAAAGATAGAACAATTTTGTTGTGAGGAAAACGGGAGCAATCAATCTTTAAACTGGCAACTCAAACTAGGTGAATGAAGGAATTTGAAGAAATAGAAAGAAGTCGCTAATTTATGCGAGACGGCGTCTTTATTTTCAGATGCAATTGTTTAACTTTTAGTGAAGAATTGTGCAACGTAACTTTTGTGTCCTTGGGAGGGTGTTGGATTTAGTTTTAGTGAAATATAATTTTGTAAAATATACATACATATTTTGAGTTCAATTGTCTAGGTAAGCTTGTTTTCTATGCATTGCATTCCAGATAGTGACGTATGTAGTCAACTATAATGCACTATTTTAAATCAATAGTGATTTATGCTGTTCATAATTGAATTTTTGGGTATCAATATCTGTATCTTGTTACATTACAAAGTGGGTTCTAACCACATTTTGTTTACATACTTATTATTTACAAGTATAAACATACTTGCAGCAGAAAAAAATATCCAATATGGGCGACCAACAATTTTTCCTGAAATGGAACGACTTTCAGACGAATATGGTGACTTCCTTCAGGCACTTACGGGACGAAAAAAGCTTTACAGACGTAAGAAATTGTTATTAGTAAACGTTTTTACTGCTTCAAAAGCAAAATTTGTTGTTGCTCATTTAATTTGACCATAACCTAGAAAAGCTTTAGGTTTTTTACACAAATAACATCCAAGTTTTTATATATTTTTATAATAACTATAATAAGAGATTTTATAATAATTAAAAAAAAACATCATAATAAAGGAAAGTGACATTTAAATAAATAAGTAATAAACAGTATTTAAAGGAGTGATATCAATTTATAAAAGAAGCTTTAGTCCCAATTGAAATTAAAAATAGTTGAGTGAATTTTCTTCGTGCATTCCTTAAACCAAGAATTTGATTAGTAAATATATTGAACAATAAATTAAGTTATAATTAGGAGGTAAAGAATAATTAAAATACACAACACTATTAACATTATTCCCAACATTTGTTTTTTTTTTTCAAAATTTATAAAAATAATCGTATATTTATTAAAACTTTCCAGGTAACCCTAGCATGTGAGGGACAAACATGTAAAGCCCATAAGATGGTACTTTCTGCATGCAGCCCATACTTTAAGAGCTTATTAGAGGTAAATTTATTTTATTTTTATAGACAATTTAAAATTTCTCTTAGCAATGATTGTCAATATTATAATATCACATTTCATCTAATCTCTTCTACTCCTAGACAAATGTTTTCTGGTGAGTAAAGTAGGCCTTTATAAAAAATTTATTTATCTAGAAACACCATTTAACATCAATTTTAATTTTATCGGTAAACAAAACTTTTTGTGCATAATTAAAATCTTTATTTTTAACCAGCAAATCATTAAATCAATTCAATACTTTGCAAAGGTTACCAGTATTCAATTTTTATAGCCTTTGTAAAATATTCTATAATATGTATTTTAGTATTTGTGATTGCTGTGAAAACTTCCATATTATTTTATATTTTTCATAATTATGCTTTAACTATAAACCAACATAAAACTTTAACAACAAAATTTCATAATAAGTGATATGCATAGTAGGTACATTATGGACACCCCAACGTAAACATCAACACAATGAGGATGTTACCATGGTATTGTCTTATGTTGCATATAAACTTAAAAACTCATTCACATGAAATACAGGTTTTTAGAGATACATTGTCATTATCATATCTTATCCTTTAAACAAGCAATTCTTGTATATATATATACAGCGTGTCTTTATAATCGCTAATATTATATTTATATTATATTAATATTTTTATTTAATTATGGATTTTGTTTAACGTTAATATTTTTTATGATTATTGGCAGGTAGCGTTAGACGTGTGTTCATTTATTGTCGCGATGGTAAAGACACGCTGTATATATAATTGGAATCTCGGAAACGGCTCCAGCGATTTTCATGTAATTTAGTATGTGCGTAGATACGAGGGCGAAAAATCGATCTAACTAGGTTTCATTTTTAGAAAATGTCTTTTTATCCCTGTTTTCAGGGAATGAAAAATATCATTCAAATATGACGGTCAATTTCGCCGCAAAAAAAAATGTTATAATAGCTCGGTCGGTAATCGAGCGGCCCCAACACGTATCACGATCATTTACACACTTATTTTTTACTTTTTTATTTCGATTCCAGATCATTTCTTTCTTTATTTTTTGTCGATTTGTTATTTTATTATTCTTTTCCCTTTTTTTAAAAGTTCTTTCTTTTGTGAAAAACACCAGTTCATATTTTCTTAAAATTACGTCGGTAAGATCGAAAAATATTATGCATATTTCATTACTCAGTAATTTGTATCTAAATGTAATTGTCAAAATTCACGATTTTCCAAAAAAAAAAAAACTGAGCAAAGCTCGGTCCTCCAGGTACTATTTAATAGTCGACATATTACTCCTGTAGATAGCACAATTCTCCTATCGATTAGTAAGTAGGTCATACAAATATGTCTTACAGGAATCATCCCACATACTATCTCTCCGAAACCACAAGTCAAATAAGCTAGAAAAAGCTCTTTCATATTTCCAGTCAGATTTTTGCAGGAGTGAGAAGTGATTAACTAATGTTAAGCAGTTATGCATGTCTATTAAGAGATAAAAAGTTTTTTTTTTTTTTCAGGAGAACCCTTCAAAACATCCTATTATAATCTTGAAAGATGTTTCTTATCTACACTTGCAAGCAATACTCGAGTTTATGTATGCTGGAGAAGTAAATGTTTCTCAAGAACAGCTTCCAGCTTTTCTCAAGACAGCAGCACGGCTCAAGGTTAATATTTGTTTATTTACCCCACAAACATCAGTTTTCCATCCAGGTGCTAGAAAGTTTCAGTGATATAGCAAATACGGACTCAAACAGTTTTAACTTGGTACTTTTCAGGTTAAAGGCCTAGCTGAGCCTCCCCCACAGATGCCAAGCATTAAAAGAGAAGGCTAACATCTGCTCAGTGCGCAAGTGCCTAAAGACTTTAGTGAACATTCAAGAAATACCATTGTAACATAGCAGTTACTACCCACATTCACTTCTTTATATTTCCGAACAACCTGCCCTCTACACATTGGATAAAATGCATCATAAGGAAAAAATGCTTCTGAAAGTAATAAAAATTAATAGGCTTATATTGTGTGTTCATTTTATGAAATATAATAGAAGAATTAAACACTACAAATAGAATTACACAAAAATTATTAATAAAATTCTGTTGTAGCTATATCTCTTAAATTATCTTTTATTTCTTCAGAAATAAAGATGTTTTATAATATTTCATGTTATTAAAATCCATTCACAATTCTTCAATCCAATGTGTAGAGGCATGTGATGTCCATTCCATATAAAAATATTTACTCCTGTTTTTGCCCAATTTTATTGACAGAATAATAGTGGAATATAAAACAAAAATATTATCTGGTTAAGTCTATTACTAATTGTTGCACATCACAATTAATGTTAACAAGAAATCAATTAATGTTCAGTCCATATAGTAGTGTACTACTGAAATCAACTCTCCACCTCCACATCAGCTGGAATCCAACTATTTGTTTTTAACTTTATACAAGATGTGATGTTTATAAATTCAAAAATTTTATCATTGGTTGAAAAGAATCAAGTACAATAAATTTAATAATAGATGTATCTTAATGAAATTATACTGAATTTCATATTATATATATTTGATATCAAATTATAACTGGCAAAAATATAGCTCAAAATAATCTTTGACAAATCATACTCCTGAATTAAAAATATTTATGACATATCTGTGGTGGTGTTTACAATTAATAATGAAACTGCTGAAAATTTATTTAGAACAAAGTCTTATGATTCGCTCCATATTGTTGTTGGATGCACCAAGCGAGCCTTGTAGACCTAAGCAATAACTATATCTCTGCTTTTAAATGAGATTAAATCTAAAAAGTCTAATATTTTAATATGTAAATTTTTATAGTGGGCATTGAACTGCACCATTGTAAGTTGTTATTCATTAAGGACATCTGAAACCAGAGTATGATTTGCCAATGCAGAGGTATAATAGCATTCTTAGGTATAGTTGTTTTGTTTACATACAACAGTTTTAACATTGATGTGGTAGCATAGTCATGCGCCCTTAGCCTCGACACTGTCGTTATCTGTAAGTTACCTAACAACCAAAGTGTGAATTAAATTAGATTTTATTGTCTGCAATACTAGTTCGCCGTGTTGGTAAGAGTGGAGCCGCAGTCGTGTTTTATATAAAGGAAGACAGCATATTTGATCTTGTATTTTAAATTAAATGTGTTTTATAAATTTATCATTTTACAATTTAGAATCTGCTTCCTTTGAAAATATGTTCCCAATACATGCACAGGATATCTATTGTTATATGAAGCTGTAAATGGTTTTAAACATTTCTACACGCGACTGCGGCCTAAGGGCATGTGCTTTGCTGACATGTCGATGCTCCTTCATAGATCTATCCACCAATGGTTGCCTTATTATTTACATGTCGGAACTTGTACCACAATATTATCTCTTGCCGATTCCCCAAAAACTATTATTTCCTCATTAACACCAACAAATTATTTTGTGTAAATACAGTAATTATTATATCAAATGGGCCACAATTATTTAGCAATTTCTAGTTCTAAGATGGTAAATGGATGTGGGAATCGGCATATTGTTGTGTGTTCAATGTCTGACACAGCTAATTAGCGTTTTAAGGAGTTGTTGACACTGTATAGAGAGCTAAGTGTGAATAAGCAATTATCTACCCTTGTGTAGGCAGATTTTAACATTAGTTGCAGTGTTTGTAACAAAAGAAATATCTATACATTGATTTACAATATTTGTTTATAAGGACTTCGAAATTTGAGCAGAAAGCTTTTTTTAGACACATATTCTCTGCCTTTGGTATTTGATGAAAATAATTCAGAAACTGTTAATATGACTAATACTCTTTGCTTTGAAGATTTCTATAAATGTGCTATTCCACCAAGATATAACTAATAAGAAATTGTACAGAAAATATTCCTCCAGTATGAATGTACCATGTATGTGTGACTTTAATTTTGTGATTATTATAAAAAATTATGGCACTTTGCGAAGTTTATCTAGAATTTGGTATTTGTGACTGAATAATGATATTTTTTATTATCATTATTACAAATTTTAATATTTGGTATGTATGCATTTAGCATTATTATATTATACTTTTGTTTCTTTACTTTTGTAATTGGTGCAATTTTGTTTTATCTTTCGTACCATATACAGAGTGTTTTAAATATAACTTATTCCAAAAAACCCACATGTTTTGTGTATTTTAAAACACGCTGTATAAAACTTAGTAGGCATACAATATATTTTTTTACTTTTTTAATTATCTTCAGTAATGTAAAATTCAGCACAATGCATCTCACGCATTATTTAAGTTTGTATGTATTTTTAAGACATATTTCTGCCTTCCCTATACCACACACCTTATTCACCAACTTTTAATGATAGTTGTGTAAAAATGTAAATCTGATATTTTTAGAAGACAGAGCAATGGAGTGTGCTGAATAAATCACATGAGACTAGTTTGTAATATTGATTGAAATTATGAAAGATTTGTAATTTTAGATAATACAAAAAAAAATAAACTATAACAATTGTTTACTTTTGCCTTACTTAGTACTTTCAATGAGATTATATTGAAATCAACATCACAGTAGATTTGCTATATATTTTTTACGTCACGTACTTCTCCAAGTATAATACCATATCTGTATTATATATTATGGACACCTGGTGGTCTAGTTATGATTCAGGGTGAGACCTTGATAAATAATCTGTTAATAGTTCATTATTTATCATATGACAAATCTATCTCTGCGTAATATATCTCGGCTAGGGTTGCGTACCTACCCATTATACTTCCATAATAAAGTTGGTTTACCAAGATTATTTATAATCACCACGTATTTTCTCAGGAACGGGTGAACTTAATAAGTTGATACTGCAGATACTGAGGTCTAAATGAAGCCTTTAAATAAATATCTTCGTTGAAAAAAATTTTACACTAAAAATAGCCTATGTCCTTTCTCAAGCTCTAGACTATCTGTGTACAAAATTTCATTTAAATCGGTTCATTAGTTTTGGCGTGAAAGCGAGACAGACAGACAGACAGATTTACTTTCGCATTTATAATATTAGTATGGATTAGTTGTATAAAATCAAGGTCCTGACTGAACATGATAAAAAGATGGCCAAATTTACCTTAATTTCCAATTTTTATTTTTCGGAAATTTCGGCAAATTTCGTGATACGAGGTCAACGGAACTACGTATAGGGGAACTTCCGGCTGAATATATATATATATATACGCACCTATAGGTTTTGGGTCGAAAATGGTAAAAAAAATCTAAAAAAATAGAAATCCTATATGGTAGTTCGCGTTGACGTACATATATCAATTTTGCTAGACCTCAGAACTGGTATAAATTTCAATTTGCTAGTTCCACCTATTCCTGAGAAAAGCGGGGGTGACAGATGGACAGGACAATGATCTTATAATGGTTCCTTCTTTTACCGTTTAAAGTATGGAACCCGAAAATAAAATGCTGGATTTCCACAGCGTATAATTATATAATAGTTTTATTGTATGAGGTTGCCGTTCAAAACAAAAAATTCAAGAAATAAATGGCTGTGCAGTTACTAATTACTGAATAATTTATACTAAGTACCAGAAGCATCTTTCCAACTAAGCATTTTTTAAATTATTTTCAACAAATAATGAAATAGCTGTATTGATAAAGCAAATGTTTTATTAATTTAAATGCAACAATTCACACTATACATTTTAAGCTTTTTGAAGTTAGCACCTTGAAATTATTTTAACAAGTTATCAAATACATTTCCATAAATATAAAAAAATATTTTAAGTTTCTCATCACATAAGGAATGATCATTTGGAATAAATGCTAAAAAATGCTTCACGTTAATTTACACAAATTCAGAATAAATTTTAGCTTTTAATCTTAAAAAAAGTAAAATGTACTATTAATGAGATATATAATCAATGTCATTGCAATTTAATCATCATAAATATAATCTTAACAAAAATCATTTTTAGTAAACTATACTCATCACTGGTTAACCTTTGGTATGTTTTTTGGAATAAATAACTTTGGTTTGACAAAAAAAAAAACGACTATCAATTAAGTAAATAAACAAAAATAATATGGCAACTTAATAGGAACATAATTATTACCTCAAATATATACAAGTGCAATAAATTCTACTAGTGGATCAATTTTCCTTATAAACAGTTCAACCATTCAAGGGTTGTCATAAATACCCAAAATTTACCAACATTATGCAATCGTTAACCATACAACTGGTAAGCATATTTACGACACAGAACAAAGTATAATCACATAATTTTATATACCAGACCCACCAAATTCACAACATTGGATACGACGACACTGGCCTATTTAATGATTCTAACCGTAATTTTATTTATTTAAGTAAAAAATACGATGTTTGCAACCAAAAAATTGATCTATTTGGTGCACTAGTTTGAACAGAATTTCATTTGTTTTTTTGGAAAAATTAGGTACTCTATAATTTTGTTACAATACTTTTAAAGCAGAACACTAAAATTTAAAAAGTAATTTTTACTTTAATTCTATATTCTTTTAAAGTAACTTTAAATAAATAAATTTGTTTTGCTATTATCTAAGTAAAATATAAGGTTTTACTCAAAACAATTAAATTTTACTTACTTTACAAGTATCAAATAATTATAGTTTTACGATATAAATTTTAAATTTGCAAACCCTGGTTGAAAGTACCACCTAGCAAGAGAATGGGACAGGCAGCAATATGCGAGCACTAGCAGAATTAATTACATTATGGTGTATGATGTATCTGTCAATCTATCTTTATTAATAGTTACATATATATAATATGGCAAAATCGACATTACTTGCTCATAAATGTTAATTTGAGAAATGTTCGACGGTCGTACGTAATTAGAACACGTTTAATAAAAATGAATAGGAGTTCAGAAAATTTCATTGAAATGCGGTGATAGATTATAACAATTTTAAAATTCAGATAAATTTTAACATTTTAACTTGTCTTATTTCCCACTGTGCTTTTGTCTAAATAGATGGTCTCATCGAACTACTTAATCTCTGATCTTCTCCAACTTAAATATGATATGATTGATGGCTGTCATATCTTCAGTTACAGGACTACTTGTCTCCAGAATATTTGAGCAATATATCATTAAGATCCCTGATCAGAATGATAAATTATCTACACTGGCTTATTGAAGTTATTAATAAATTTTACTGATTTTCACAACAACAGGTTTTTTATTTTACTAATCATGCCATACGATAAAGTTACTCCCCTGGGTGGGGGCGATTTACAAACTGATGTTTTTTTTTCATAGTGAATAATAAAACCAGTTGCTATACGTTCGTTCAAAGTACTTCATTGGCGAAATTATCATACAGTTTATACTATATAAAATAGTCAACAGCATACGCCAAATAAATTATTGGTCCGTCAACAAGATGAAATCGAGCTTTTCATCGATTTCTTTAAGTAGTCACAGGATAAAATGTTTCAGAAACTGATTTATAATAAATAACAGTAAATCTATTGCCCGAACGCATATTGTCGTTATTATACCGTTAGATGGCGCTGTAACTAGTAACAAGCTCTGGAGCTAGCCATCTCGACAGCAATATATTGAACACCCATCTCGTTAAATGTATTCAAAAGTTAAACGCCCACTGACAGACGATGATAATTATGTATACATAGATAATTAAATAGTAATTCGTAGTCGCAAGAGAAAACGCGTCTCCAGTTCCATCTAGTTGCTGCATTTGAAGCCGTCGGGGTTATTACTCTGCCAGCGCCACGTGTCGGCGCACATGTCCTCTAGCGTCCTTGTCGCACGCCAGCCCAGCAGCCTGTGCGAGAGCGAGACGTCCGCGTAGTTGGCGGCGATGTCGCCCTCGCGCCTGCCGACGATCTTGTACGGGATCTGGCGGCCGCTAGCCACTTCGAAGGCCCTCACCATTTGTAGCACCGAGTAGCCGGTGCCGGTGCCTGCGAATTAGTTTCACACGTCTTATCAGTAAAAAAACTCAGTACTAACCGAAGAAAATGTCATCCTTTTGTGAGTGTTTCAATTGTACATGTAGACAGGACAATTTATGTAAACTAAAAACACAGGTGGACCCAGAACGGATCCTTGGGGTACCTCATTCGAACTTTCAAAGCCGATTAACCATTTAAATACGTTTTGCCATCTATCTATGATATAATTATAAAGATGTGAAATTAAGCACGGATTTACGTACGCCATAATGATCTGCCAAGTGAAATACTTTTGAGTATTTCAATCGACTTGATGCAACTTAGTTCAGATAAGAAATAGAACCACTACCTGATCACCTAAATAGACTTACGGCCACCACTTCTATATTCAGACATAATATAATAGAACAACCTGATTAAGATCAAGGCACTACGCACCCAGATTGACAGCGTGGAATCCGCCGAAGCCGGGCTGCCGGAACAGCTTGATGGCCTTCACGTGCCCCTGCGCCAGGTCCTCCACGTGGATGTAGTCCCTCACCCCCGTTCCATCAGAAGTGGGGTAGTCGTTTCCAAACACCAGCAACTCCTTCAGCCGCCCGACTGCCACCTAAAACGGAATTGAGAATAAAGTTTTGAAGTAAATCATTCACCTTTAATCATCGTTAATTAACAGTCAATCAGTCATCATTCGCCTTTATATAGTGAAAAGATATTTTATCTGTTGAGCCTTTACAACTTTTTCAATTAGGCAAATAAAGTATATTCAATGCCGATTCTAATGTAATGATAAACGATAATATTGAACTGCACAATTTGACAAGTCTTATTCTATGAGTATTACTATTTAAGAACCAGCGTGTACAGTGCCGAACACAGCTCGTACCTGCGCCACGAAGGGCATCAGGTTGTTGGGGACGCCAGCGGGGTCCTCCCCGATGCGGCCGCTGTGGTGGGCGCCCACCGGGTTGAAGTAGCGAAGCGAGATCACCATCCATTTCTGTGTAAAGACCAGAGAGAGAAAGAAGAGTAAGAGACCATTTTTATTGACATATTACAGCATAATCGAGAAGTTATCCCTTAAACATATTCATGAATAATGTCGGGGTGCTAGATTTCCATTCTAGACCATTCATTAAATTTATTCACGACAGGAAGGGTCTGATTTATTCATTAAGAGCTTACGAGCTAAATACATACAAAACAGTGACACATATCTTAAAGTTTAAGTAAACTTACTTAATATTTTAAAGTTTTTTTATAGTGCTAATCTCTGCACTTAACATTGAACTTATCGTACTTATTCTACATGTTTTAATAAACTTACTTATCTAAAAAAAATATCTTTTATCACTGAGAAGAAAAAAACGAAAAATGCGTCTTCGGTGGTAATATTTAGATTTCGGTCTCGGGTCATTTATAACGAATATTTAGTATTAAATATAATCAAATTTTCATAATAGATCTGGAAAGAAATGTTACCTTTGTCCCAAAGACCTCGCCAACTCGGGTAATAAACGTGGGAGAGATGTTTATTACCTCCCAAATGGCTCGTCTACTAATTGACACTACTTAGCCGTGATAGCTCAGTGTCCGGGCGCTTGCCTTTAATTAAAAATACTCGAGCAACCTGAGTTCGATTCTCGGTGCCAACACCAATGAATTTTCTAATTTTAAATGTTGACTTATCACTTGCTCAGCGGTGAAGGAAATCATCGCGAGGAAACCTGCATATTTTCGGAATAATAAAAAACAATAATTCGAATTTAGATACGTTAAGTCCGCCAATCCGCGTTGGGGTCGCGTTGTGGTTGACTTGAATATATTGTATACATGTTTGTTATATTTGTCAAAATATGTTTAAAAAATAAAAATTCCCGCTGAGTTTCTTTTGCCGGTTCTTCTCAGGTCAGTGGCTTTTTTTCCGAACCGGTAGTAATTCTTTTTGACAATCATATTGAATATAGTAGAAGTGGGCGATACAAATCGTATCAGATATGAAAACTAGATATTAGTACAATATTCCAATATCGCTTACTGGCTCGTTCAATATCTATGTATTTTACAATATCTGATATTTCCGAAATCTGATGTACCGTGCTCGCTCGCTATACCGACACGAATCGCGATACGGCGATATCATACGCGTTTGCCGCAATATCTGATCTTTACAACAGATTTCGAGAGACAAAGCGCGTGAGATACAAATACTCACTAGTTAGAGCGGGACGGCAAGCAATGCACGATATCAGATATCGAGCGACAAAGCGAGTGAGATATAAACACTTACTAGTTAGAGTGGGACGGTATGCAATGCACGATATCAGATATCGAGCGACAAAGCGCGTGAGATATAAATACTTACTAGTTAGAGTGGGACGGCAAGCAATGCACGATATCAGATATCGAGCGACAAAGCGCGTGAGATATAAATACTTACTAGTTAGAGTGGGACGGCAAGCAATGCACGATATCAGATATCGAGCGACAAAGCGCGTGAGATATAAACACTTACTAGTTAGAGTGGGACGACAAGCAATGCACGATATCAGATTTTTAAACAGATATTATGAATAAGTTAAGTAATTTTGAATCTTAACACCATGCAAATAAGATCCGTTTCATTTAAATACTAATCTTGGTATCAGCGATTACTACAACGATATTATTATATTTTTATTGTTTTGTTTAGCCTTGAGCCGTAACGGGCGACAAAGCGCGCAGTTAAGTAATTTTGAATTTTAACAGCATGGAAAAAAACTCTGTTGCATTTAAATACGAATTACGGTATTAACGATGTCTTTGAAATTTTGTTCAGCCTTGAGCTGGATTGCATTGGTACTTAACACGTAATAGTAAGGGATGCCAACTTACTACTTAAGAATTTTCTGCCTAAATTAAGGAAGAAAAATATACAATGGAAATTTTTTAGGAGGTAAATTTTTTGTGAATATTTTTATTAGCTACATTTTATTCATATTTTTGGAAAAAAATAAAACTACACAAAAAGAAAAATATAATTTAATAGTGCTGTGCTGCTTTGGTGGAAATCAGACCAAGGCTTATGTGCCTTGTGTGTATATTTTAAATTCTTCCGGCCTAAGCTATAATACTGAATGTATTATTTCTTACACAAGTAATAAAATATTGCCACTCGATTGCGTGTTCTAAAAATATGTTAAAGTCAATTATTAAGCGGTATATAAGATGTTAAAATAAATCGTTTTTATATTACTTCAATTAATATTTTTAATGAAATTTTTAATTTAATAATTTAAAAAAAAACGCATTTTTAGTAAGACAGGGTTAATTATTAATGATCGTCGAACAAGACTTTCGACGAATAAAGTCAGAGAGCTTACGTTCCTAAACGTAAATTTCAACCCGGAGGGATATAAATAATAATTAACCCTGACATAATTGTAAATATATAATGTTAAGTTTAAAATATAAGGAAAATTATGTACATAGAATGAATCAACTTTTAAATACGCCTGCACAATTTTATATTTATAATAAGTATGAAATATTGCAGCCAGTCCTAAGCCTGGAAAAAGTATGAAGGGAAGTTATTTCATTCATGTTATATCCACTCCCTTAAAGTATACAATTTTTTTTTTTTTTTTTTGAATTCAATTAATCAACGTGGATAGGGAACCGTAAAATATCTAGATATTAAAATACATAGTTTCGAAATCTGATATTTGAAATCGATATCGGATTCAGATACGGTACTCAGAAAAAGCGATACGACCCATCCCTAGAATATAGATTCAAAATTTGAATTTTTAATTTGACTATCCCCTAATCCCTCTGTACAAATGTGGCCTTTGCCTAGCAGTGGGGCATATATAGGCTGTTTCTTTACTACCATTACCCACCAATTCAACTCAATCTTCTGGACTCTTCTACTCATCAATGCGGCGACATCTGCTCCTGTACCCACTGAACGCTACTCCGTTCGCTCACCTTGTCGCTCGTGCAGATGTCCTTCATGATCTCCTCGCAGAAGTACTTGGACCTGCCGTAGGGGCTGGTCAGGCCCTGGCCCGTGGGGTGCCCCTCGTTGAGGGGCAGCCTCTGCGGCTCCCCGTACACCGTGCACGAGGAACTGTACACGAGCTTGTAGACGCCGAATTTGCGCATCACCTGAGGCAAAGTGTGACATTCGATATCATCATAAAGGTATTGTTTCTATATAGGGACTCAAATGTCTAGTTCCCGCGGGCATAAGCAGAGGGGCGGATGGCAACAAGCAGATCATTTGGCTCCATCCTGATATATATATATATGGATTTCGCTTAACGCACATTTTTCATGTGAGAAGTTGGCAAGCGAGATGGCGGTTCACCTGATGGTAATTGATAACAGCCAGCCACCTTCAACACCTGTAGGGCTGCACATGCGTTGCCACCTTTTAATAAAGGTGGCCTCGGCTACCTCACTCACTAAACGTAGCGCAGAAATATAACACTTCACGCCGGTCTTCTGTGAGATCATGGTACTTCCCCGGACGGACCTGCCCATTTGTGCAACAGCGAACTGTTGCGTGCCTATCACATCCAACTAGTTGTTTGTATGCGATCAATGAATGTTCTAGTAACTCTTTTCATATTTATTGTCGCGGTGGTAAAGACACGCTGTATACACACACGCTGTATATACAGGGATATTACATTGTAAAATTCTTCCTGTATATACAAAAATTTGCGTCGGTGAAATAAAATAAGTATAAACGTCAATAAATAAGACTTTATAATGCACGACAAATAATATTAATTTAATACGGGGCAAATAGTGAATACTGAAAAGTAGCATTCATTTGTATTTTTAGAACACAGACCGATAAAAAAACCTGTTTAACACTTGAATTCGGGTAATGGTACATTAAACAGTTACGGTATGCGTTTTTGTATAAATAAACTAACAAAGGATAACAGATAAATGATCTCATTTAGAAAGAATTTCTAATAGATGTTTGTAAACAAACATACAAGCTGTGCTAGGGCCACGCAACAGTCTTCGCCGTTGCACGAATGGGCAGGTCCGTGCGGGTAAGTACCACAACCTCACAGAAGACCGGCGTGAAGTGAAAGTGTTATACTTCTGCGTTTCGTCTGTTGAGTGAGGTAGTCGGGGCCCAATTTATCTAAAGGTGCCAACCCTACGGGTGTTATAAATGTCAATTGGCGGCGGTTATCACTTAAGATCAGGAAAACCGCCTGATCGCTTGCCACCTTTTCATACAAAAAAATCTCGCTGGACAACACTATACCCATATATAGCGCAACACACGTAAGCAAATAGTTCTTTCTCGCCTACGAGTACAGCGAACCCAAAACACAAGAGTGTGTACGTATATATATATGTATTTGTATATATTTGCTTTAGTCACATATAATATAAGTACCTACATTATTATTGCAACCCCTACATAGTAAGTTAATACGTTCTTTTACGCCATTGCACTGTGGTTCCCTAGTACGACAAAAATCACCCAAGGTCACTCTGCGATTCAATAAAAGTAGTGATCATTATAAAAACTAAAAAGTCTGAACTTAATAATAGTATAAATTAAATGCACTTAGCTAATTACTTTCATTACCATTTCGTCATCGAAAGTGTGTGTAACAACAGTGATCCAAAACGTTACTAGGGACTCACGCAATTGTTACGTGATTTCGTTTGTCGATTCCCAGAAACCTGTTATATATTTGATTTATTTTCAAAATGGATTTCCAAGGACATGGTATGTACATATTTTTTTTTATTTTGTTTACAATTTTAATATTGTTTTTTTTTGATGCAATTTGACTGCTACGTGATATACCTTTTTTATGTGAGCGTTTTAATTTTTAATTTAATACATGTCGAGTTTTAGTTTATATTCCTCCATACTTCCGTAACAAACGTTTTTATATACGTTGAGACCTCATTCTTTATGATTTCACTTGAATTCGTTCCCCGTTTTTCCCCCTTTTAGAGCAATATGGGTGTTACGTGAAAATAATCCCTTTGTAGAACTTTGCTACGCACACGAATTAAGACTGAATGTCTTTGGTTTTGCATTTAATGACTAAAAATGTTGTTTTTATTGCAGGTTTAAGTCGGGAGATAGCATTCAAAAGGGATATACTGCAAATTTTAACACAAGAAAAGTCAAATTAATACACACACACACACACACACACACACACGCGCGCGCGCGAACGCATGCACGAGGTGTGCGCGCCTCAGCTTGCTTTACATTTTTATTGTTTTATTAGTTTGTTTTTCTCATTTTAGATATTTCCGTGTTTACTTTTTCTAAAAAAACATTGTTTACTCATAAACTGCTCAATTATTATTGTATATATATATTCTACCTATAAAATGTAAATCCTTTCTTGGCTGTAAGTTAAGAATATCTGATATACATGTAAACAACTAAAGGCTGTGGATTTTGTTGCTCAATAAAATAATAAATAAAATACATTGCCATGGATGTGTGTCTTCGAAATTTGAAAGTTGAAAAAAAAGTTGAACATTACATAGCGGGCGGAGCTCATATTTCAAGAGATACGCGAAGCGCTTTTTTTTCTGCATGTTTCTTATAGGCTTAATATAAAAAAGTGGCAAGTTAGACAAGCTGATAAAGACAGCGTAGCGGAAAAAAGCCATCCAATCCCAATTCAGGATAAAAATAGGTTTGGTAATAGACAAAACTAAACCAGGTGGAAGTGGGACTTCAGATGATGGTAATACGGCTACAAAGTTCTTTGAGATCCTGAAATTTCTGCTGAAATTACAGGAATTGATAAAACGTTGAGCCACAATATAGCAATATAAATTCTGGCTGCAAAGTAAACTCTATTAAGTTTGGGGAATTTGCAATGGAAACTGCCAGGCTAATTGTCCAAGCATATGCATGGTTTTACCTACCAGCTTCTGTCCACGAGGTATTAATTAGTTCATGGGTCTGCTATCATAGAACATGCACTTTTACCAATTGGACAACTTTCTGAAGAAGCTGCAGAAGCGAGAAATAAAGCGAGAAACTTCCTAGTATGACGATGTCTGAACATTTTAATGTTCAGACTTCGTCATACTAGGAACTTTTCTAGGACTATAACTAATAGGGACCTTTTAAACAGGCTTTTTTTAAGCTCTGATCCATTCATATCAGAACTTAGAAAATTGCCTAGAAAGAAAAAAACTGTTTTATCAAAAGGTGTTTTGAAACTCCTGAGTTTTTAAAATATTATTGTTACAAATACAATATAGCTGCATTTCTATTGTTTATTTTCAGGTTCTTTCATACCTTTGTGTGTTGTTTAATATAAATTTATGCTTAAATAAATTACATCTTTTAGAATAAATTTGAGTCGCGATTTAATTTTTGATTTGAATTTTTTATTGTAATTTTTTTTAATGTAGTATATAAATTGACATATTGTTATTTATTATAATTTATAACAATAAACTTATTATATCTTTTATATAACCAGTTTCATTCATAAAATCGCAGAAATAAAGTATTTTATATTTTTGTCGCACCTTAGTATGGGCGGGGAACCACAGTGCATTGGTTGCCTGGAAGAGATCGCTGGAGCGATAAGCCCGATAAATTGTTCATTCCATAAATTTGTTTATACAGCGTGTCTTTACAATCGCTACAATCAATGAACACACATATAGAGGATAAGTTTTTAAAATTGTATTATACATTTAAATTCTTTAAACTGTGTCGCTGTGACAACGAATGAAAAAGTCTCTGAATGTATGAATCAGTCAGTTGTAGTTGTATAGGATGTTACAAATTTTGTTTCTTTTTTACTTAATTAGTTTGTTCGAAAAAAAATTTTTTTAATTAAGGGTTTTTTTTTACGTTAAGATTTTTTTATGATAATTGGCAAGTAGCGTTAGACGTGTGTTCATTTATTGTCGCGATGGTAACGACACGCTGTATATGTATATAAATAATAAGTAGACAATAAATGTACTCATTGTTTCATTCATTCGCAAGGTACGCCCAGACTCCTATTAGTATAGTCAAGATCCAGCGGGGTCACGGAGCTCACGGTCCGTGCCATATCTTGTTGGCTAACGCACGGTTGAGCTTGTTGCGATCCTATACAATCCTATACGGCCCGTATCTAGCTAGATTCAGGCACGTCCACGAGTTCTTCGTCCCATGAAGCTTTTCTAGACTATGGACTGAAAGCAAAAACATCTTTTAAAGTAGATTGATGGATTTACATACGTCGAAAAGGGTGCACGTTCCGTTTATGTTCGCCTGGTAGTATTCGAGTGGTTTCTGCACGGACTCGCCCACTGCCTTCAGCGCCGCGAAATGGATGACGCAGTCCACGTTGTGCTAAGGGATAAGAAAGGACGGTCTCAACAACACCACCGGAGTGAAGACATTGACTTGAAGACATTTACTTGGCAGTTTGTTTATTTTGGACAAGAAATTTATTTAAAATTCCTCATAGAAACATTAAATGGTCGTTGGAGATACTTCAATGATTCGACTATTGTTTTATATATTATTTTATAGAATGTGCTTATGCAAATAGAATAATAAACTCCATAAGAAACAATAATTTCCTGTAGATCGTGGTTCAGATTTTGCACAGAATTGTCACGTATATGTTTACTATAAAATGCAAACACACACAAATGGGAAGATCCAACTTTGAAACACCGCGAAGGTGTTGCAAACACGTAATTTCAAAAATTCTTCAATTTACTATGTATATTCGTTTGAGTATCAATATAAGATTTAAAAAAATACATTTAATTCATGACTTTGTTGTTGCATTTATATTAACACAACATTTAAATTCCGTCGATTTAATTCTTCTTAATCATATCAAATCACCGATGTTCACATATGAAATGAATGAAATTGTATTCGAAAAAGTAATACACGATAAAATGGGAGCGGACTACGATTTTTATGAAGAAAAAAGAAACAGAGAAAAATGTACGTTACGTTCTCGAAAATTCTGGACAGGGCGGCCGCGTCTCTGATGTCCGCGTCGTAAAAGTGTATCCTGCCGCCGGTGAGCTCTTCTATTATCCTGAGGGGTTCGGGCATCTTCTGACCTTCGGCCCTGTACGCGTTGCTAAGGTTGTCCACCACCACGATCTCGGTGTCGGCCGCGTCCGCTCTCTCGAGGAGGGCGGCCACCGTGTGGGATCCCACGTAACCAGCACCACCAGTCACCAGAATGGCCGGTTTCATATTGGCTCTGTGGGGCAACGCAACGTGACAATTGCGTGAGAAATGATGTTTGATACAACATCAAGTCTAGATCATGCTTTTTAGAGATGAGGCGTATACAGCGTGTCGTCACCATCGCGACAATAAATGAACACACGTCTAACGGTACTTGCCAATAATCATAAAAAAATATTAACAAAAAACAAAAGCCAAAATTAAAACAAAAAATTTTTCAAACAAACTAATTAAGTAAAAAAGAAACTAAATTTGTAACATCCTATACAACTCGCGCCACAGCGTCGCATTACAAGCCTCTCCTTCTAACAGTATGTTTTGTCTCTTTTAAATTCATTCAACCCATTCATATGCTTTGTAACCTTTACAAATGAACTTTACGTTACAGTTTTATACGTAAGGATGTTCTAAAATTCTTTGTTTTGGAAAATTTAATAACTCGGTAAATATTGATGTGTAAAGAATGTAAATGTTTAATACAATTTTAAAAAGTTATTATCTATATGTGTGTTCATTTATTGTCGCGGTGGTAACGACACGCTGTTTACTGGAACAGGTATAAATACCCAGTATGAACGTACCAGTACGTAGACCGGATATGTACGGCAGAGGCCCGTTCCGGACCCGATATGTATTGTCGATAGCACCGCCTCGTCAGACGGTGTCGGTATTTTGTAACGTTCGCGATCGACCGCATGGCATTTTATACCGAATAATTCCTTGAGATAAATTTATTCTTTATTTCTATGAAAATTAGGTAGATAAATAATTGTGTAATGAGGTTAAACAGTAACATTTATTTTGAATTATTTTTATTTGGAAATAGGGTTCTTTACGTTACTAAAGATGGAGCTTATTTTACACTGATTAAATCTCAATTTCAAAAAACTGATTGCTAAAGAAACATCTAAATGTTCCAATTCCAACCAAAGGGTCAATTCGTTTGATTCGATCGAGTCTCCAAAAGGAGGCGAATATAATTAATACCTATAGGTATTTTCATACTGGGTTTTAGCACCGGGTAAACGGCGATACCCGTACCTTTGAGGCCGGATATAGAAGGTTGCAGGTATATCTCATGCCTAATGATTTTTATTAAAACAAACAAGCTGTAAAAAATTATGTCGCACTAATGTCTAAAATATGGCCATAGAACGTACACATACGACGTTGCTTCCCGATATCTCTATTGAAGATTAAAACTCTTCGATACTTATGAATACTTACACATGGTGAATTAAAATTTCAGTAACTAACTGTAGTTACGGAGTCCTGTGATCGTGAACAACGTTCATGATCAGGCCAAAGTTCGAGACTTTGAAACCACAAAAAGCGCGATTAAATCCGTAACCGTTTTAACAATAGATTGCAATTAGAATCGAACGTGACGCTAAGCCACTATCTTAGGCACTAAGATTAGGTATTGGTAACGTAAAGTATATCAGCAATTTTACGGCAATGAATTAAGATATCTACGTTGCTACCTACTACAAAGAATGTGTGGAACAAAGAAAACGTCACAAAAAGAAACATGTCCTTATAAATATTAGTACATTTTTTTTTTTCAAAAACAGCCACTTATTACGAGTACATTAGCTGTTACATGCGATTTCATCCGCAAGGAGTTTCTGCTTCTCCCCCGTAGGCCATAGCGTGATGTTAAATACCGTATAACGTTCCTCAAGAATTTGGATATGAAGTGCAAAAAGGGTTTTATTCAAATCCGACTTGTAGTTCCAGAGATTGCCACGTTCAAACAAAGAAATAAACTCTTCAGCTTTATTATATTAATAAGTACCTATAGATTGTATTGATTGACGGAGCCATTAAGCGTATTATAATTATTCTTAATAAGAATTGTTTCTTTTGATAAATTATAAATAGATATGAACACATAATAAGACATTATTCCTAAAATTGTTGTATTGATGTATTATTACCATCAGGATTTTTATATATCGAAAAGCATACGCGTGAAGTTTTTTATTGATATGCTGTATAATTCCGTAATTAAAAAGTAATGACTTGTTTGTATCCATTCAAATTTAAGGGTATCAGTGGTATGTTTTAAATATGTTTTAAATTTCCGTAACTACAAAAATAATTGAACATTAAAAAGGGAATATTTTAGACAGTTATCGCTTGCCATGTCTGTTGCCACGGTAACACTGAAAAAAAAAAACCGGCCAAGTGCGAGTCGGACTCCCGCACGAAGGGTTCCGTACCATTTATTATCTATAAAAACGGCCAATAAATCATGTCTGTGGTATGAGAACCCCACTTAATTATTTTTTTATTCTGTTGTTTAGTATTTGTTGTTGTAGCGGCAACGGAAATACATCATCTGTGAAAATTTAAACTTGTCTAACTATCATGAGACACAGCCTGGTGACAGGCGGACAGACAGACAGACTGACACACGGCGTGGTCTTAGTAGTTAGGGTCCACTTTTACCCTTTGGATACGGAACCCTAAAAACTTGAAAGAAAACTACTGATAAACAAATGTATACATACTCTTTTTTTGTCTTAGAAGTACACTCGTACAATATATGTAAATATATACCTATACAATTTTATAACGTATTGTATTTTCCGATTGTTTTCCTTACAACAATGCAATAATACCCGTGCTAAAGCCACGTGACAATGTTTCTCGTGTATACTGATGTGTTCTTGTTCAGCAGTATAAACATTTTGCTTCAAGGATACCTAATTTAAAACCGTGTCTTCTCCGAGTATAATCCACACGATTGAAGTGGAGACATATACATTGATGGGATGTGCTCGAAGTTAGGTGTTGTTCTAATTTCTAGTTCTCTTCAAACAAATATTGTGATTTGCGAGGGACGTGCTAAAATAACGTTATTATAACGATATATAAGAGGGTAACGAAGCAGATTCGTTGACACATCACTACATAGTATAAAACAAAGTCGTCCCGCTGTCTCTCTGTCCTTATGTATACTTAGATCTTTAAAACTACGAACGGATCTTTATGCTTTTTTTTTATTAGAGAGTGATTCAAGAGGAAGGTTTATATACAGCGTGTCGCTACCATCGCGACAATAAATGAACACACATATAGGGGATAAGTTTTTAAAGTTGTATTAAACGTTTAAATTCTTTAAACATCAATATTTACAGAGTTATTAAATTTTCCAAAACAAAGAATTTTAGAACACCCGTACCTATAAAAGCGTAACGTAAAGTTCATTTGTAAAGGTCACAATTGCTTTGTGAATGTATGAATGGGTTGAATGAATTTAAAAGAGACAAAACATACTGTTAGAAGGAGAGGCTTGTAATACGACGCTGTGGAGCGAGTTGTATAGGATGTTACAAATTTTGTTTCTTTTTTACTTAATTAGTTTGTTTGAAAAATATTTTTTTTTTAATTATGGATTTTGTTTAACGTTAATATTTTTTTATGATTATTCTCGTAGCGTGAGACGTGTGTTCATTTATTGTCGCGATGGAAACGACACGCTGTATAATACATTGCACCCGCGCGAAGCCGGGGCGGGTCGCTAGTGTAATGTGTAGTGTATAATAAGAGGTGCCTGTTTGCAAACTTGAAAATTTTGCCAGCAGGAAGAATATTTTTTATCTTCACTTCTGAAGGTTTTATATGAGATTCGCGGCCTTAATTTTCATACGTTAGACGATGTTTACGCCATGATATTCAAACACATTCTCAGCACGTGAACCTATAAAGAGTATATAAAACTGATAACGATTCAGTTCAATTGCCACTTTATTTACGACACTATATTACAATATGTGCATTTCGAAAAAAATCGAGTATCAACACGGCTGTAAATGGATTAACTTTAAGTGATAAGAAACGAACATCTATGTTCAATTAACGAAGAAGTATTTCATTTATATTCATAGTATATCGAAGTGTATTCTTGAGTAATCTTAATGTAAAAAAAATGTTTTTGCACATTGAATTCTGATGAAACATTGCTAACGAAAATTACGAAATAACTAAAAACGCAACAGCGGGAATGGCACTCAAAAAGTTCTGTGCAAAATTAATCATCTTGAAATAAAATTTAACAAGAAAAATTGGAAATTGATTCCAACTTTCGGTCTGTTCGTGTCAATTCCTTCTTGAGAAATTTCCCATAAATTTCAATCAGATATATTTTTCAGTAACTGAGAAAAAGAAATGTTAACGGACTAACTGGCGGACTCAATAACAGCTATGCAAAGGAATAAACGACAAAACAATGTTATTATGGTTCAGTTAAAACGATTGAAGTTCGCTAGCCAATAATAACCATTTCAAATAGTATTCTGGAATAATACTAAATGGTCAGTTATTGGGTTACACTTGTGCTATATGCGCCATGTCCTATGCTTATCGTCGAATGAGTGAATGCAACGGAAAAAAAAAACATTTGTACGTCACAAGCCAAACTAACAACTTTCCAGGATAAATTTAAATAATGTTTCGTACTTTTCTCATATGGCCCTGCTCGCTTGCAATACGTGCGTATGTACCAATGGTAAATAAATGTATATTAAAATAAAAGACAAATACATAAAAAACTTTTTGAAAAAAAAAAAAAAAAAAACAATTGAAATTACAGATATATATATAGCAATAATTATTTTTATTCACTCGCTTGTCCGGAGTTACTTCTTAAATTTAAAGTAATATCAATTGTTCTGTTAAAAACTATTTAGAAACAAGTACGTAGGTATGTAGTGTACATAAACATAAGGCCAAGTAACATACGTCTTATTGACAGTAGGTTCGTTGGCCACAATGGACGATTTGCAATGGGCTGGTAATAGGTAATTGGGTACAGTCATAATATGTATGCGTCTTAGGGGAAGCCAACAGTCAACTGCTGCGGAATGATAACGATATAAACATAATACCACAAAGTTTCTTCCCGGTCCTTTCTAGATCTGAATCAGTAGAGTGGGAGATCGATGTCGAAAGAAGTTGGAAACGTTCAGTTCATTATAGACATTATGACTTTAGAATATTGAAGCCTGGTCAGGTTAAATACTAACATTTCTTTAATGGGAATCACGTATTTTTATGTAAGACGATGGCAGTTGGCGCTTCATCCGATGTTAAACGATAACCGCCGCCCATGGACATTTGCAACACCTGTAGGGTTGCAGATGCGTTGCCACCTCTTAATAAAGTTGACTCCGGGTATTCCACTCGTCAGACGAAAGGCGGAAGTATAACACTTTCACTATGTGGGAGTCCCGTAAACGAACGCAAGGTAAACTAAAAATCCCACGTTGCACCTGTCTCTGTCGCATCGGCCGGGGACAGGGAACACGTGGACGCAATATTCCGCGACCCCGGCGCGACTATAGCCTTTTAGACCTCCTCTACTACATGGTGCTGTGCCGTTGCAGTTGGCACAGCATACGTCACGAGCCCCATATTGAGCGGCAGTCACCCCAGCCACTCAGGGTGTCACTATCAGGGGGGAAGGTTGCGCGCGTAGGCCAGCCTCCTGCGCGTAGGTCTCCGGCGGAGTATATCCAGGCTAGCAGTTGCCTCCCTTTCTCACTCCGCGGCCTTCTTCCGGGTGAACGTCCTGGCAATGTACGAGGACAGCACTCCACGCCCTCTCGCTGTCAACTATAGCGCGAACCACGGCTGGTAGCGAGAGGTCGTGCCCCACGATAGTGCACAGCTTATTCTGACGGACCTGCCTAAACCTGCAACAGCGAAGATTGTTGCGTGACCCTACCACGGCAAACGTACTCTTGTGTCAAAGCGCAATGACGGATAGACTCTGTCTGAAACGTCTGTGCACGACACTGTTTACAGGTGTAATAGCGTGTCAGCCCTGTAGTCCCGGGCTTATAGAATAGGGCTAAGGTATCCCCTGCCTGTCGTAAAAGGCGACTAAAAGGGGACACGGATGGGCAGCAGCACGAAGTGGTCTCGTGTTCCTGTAAGAGGATGAGGGGATTGGAGAAGGTTTATCCTTCTCCGAGGCGTGCTCAGGCGTAGTACCGAGGGACACCGGTGCGTTCCATGGGAGATCCCGGAGTCCCTCCAAATGTACAGAAGGTGGCCGCCGAGGGGGTTTTAGTGGGTAAGAACCCCACATAACCCTGTCATGTAAAGTGACAGGGTATCTTTTGAAGATTTCCCGCCGATACAAAAAAAAAAAAAAAAAAGGTGTAATAGCGTGTAACTAATATTATAGAGTACTGTTTTCTGTACCCACCTCTCGAAAACAAAGTGGTTATATGTTTCAGAACTATAACAGATTTGCGTAACGAAAATAAACGGGAACGTCTCAAGCGATATCAACATCTTGACCTCTTCGAGTACAGTCTCAAGTGTGATTGCTATTATAACTATAAATACAGATAATTTAGCATGTATTCCATAGCTAATAACAGGTGCGTCATGTCCCTTCGAAAAACGACATGAATCAAATATTTAATTTATAACAAACAGATATTACTGAAAGTGGCATCTTTGGCACTTTCGGTAGAATACAATATTTGTCTTTTGTCTCCTGATGTATGATATGATATTTTCGGTTGTAGAAGCGTTTTTCAAAACAAAAAATGCTCGTGAGATAAAACCCATACCCGGTACAAATCTGGTAATTCATTCTTATAACACCTTGTGTTAATCGAACCCACGGACTGACACGAGGAAGACTATCGTTTTACAACTATGCCATCTCAAATACCATTTTTAAGTCTATATCGGTATAGACTTAAAAATGGTATTTGTGATGAAAAAATTGTACTCCATGAGTTTATGAAATCGGTACAAATAACTGCTGCTGCACCAAACATTGCCCCGATAGCATACAATTCGAAAGTTAGTCTGTGTATGTGTATTTTTGTTTATGTGTGCGTTATAACGGCTGAACGGTTTATTATTAAAATTAAAATTGATAGCGTGTTTATAAAAATAAGCTCAAAAAGAATTTAGCTTATAAGCTCGCTAGTTTCAGGTAAACACTAAAGTGGAGAAAATACATAATTGCTTGCATCATCAACTGACTAATGGAACGGAATATCAATCATAAGGTTATGAGTTTGAATTCTATACGTCTACGTATGAGAGTAAATCGATTTGACGTAGGCGATCTGTATAACGCTTAGTACTATCGCTAACTAATTTCTAGCACGATAAGCATACATAAAAGTAATATTATAAATTTATTATAGTGATGCAATTACAATAAAAAATGCTACCATAGAATCGTCTCACTAAAAATTATCAGTCGGTTCAACTGATAGTTAAATATCTCGTATATGTTTTTAAACAGGATTTCTCTTACCGTGTTTATCGCATCTCAAAATGTTATTTAATATAAACATTTCAAAAACGATTTCCTACACAATGCAGTAACAAAATTACTTACTTTTTATTTTAGCTTAACTTTTGAAATGACAATTCAACTGACCACAGCACATAGGAGTAAAAATAATATAGTGTTGATCCTAGCACGTTAACAACTGTTTTAAATCTATGCGCACAGCAATTGCAAAGTCTGCCAGGTCACTGCTGAGTTATCAAACTGTACGTCGTGTAGGTTAACCAAGCCTAACCTTAACTCTCGGATAGTGCGCGAATAAATTGTTTAATTGTTTTCACAGCATTCCGTTACAAGACTTTTGTTTAAGAACTACTCTTATTGATACTTATACAAGTTTAATTTAAGCGTACCTACGTGTACTGCAGTCTGTCTCTTCCACTACAGTTGGGGTCTACCTACTCTAGTTCAGATGATCTTTTGAACTATACATATTATATGAAAATTCTTTTACACGCATCTAAGGCACTACGCGACATAAGATAGCTCGATTTTGATACTCAGTTCATGTACCGCGACATGCGCGAATATAAAACTCGCGTTAATAAATGATTTTAAAGACGTAAACAGCAGCAGGTCACAGGTCAGCCCTACATACCTTACTTACTTTTTTTAAGTTAGTTAAATAAAATATAAATTTTCGAGACGATATGGTCACAGTAACACTGCTTGTACCCTATAGTGTGTTGGTTTCGTTATCAACGTTAGTATCAAGTCGTCAAGTGCCATATATTTTGTAATATCCGATTAGAGAATGACATAGGCTTTGCAATCCATGATTGATCGATATTAAATCGTGTATCTTTATTCAAACACCATCCCATTAGTGAAAGTCAAGGAGATCTACTTATTGTACATAGATTGGGACATGCATAGGATATTGACTGTACTCTGCCTGATACAAAAGTATTAGTTATGTTTGCTCAAGTGCAGAATTCAGTCATTGTTAGTCCTAAGCCATTGTAGCGTAAGAAGAGTAGACAAATTCACCTAATACAATACCCATTTAACATTGAGCCTTTGTCCATTGAAATTTACTTTTAAAATATAAATGAGTTGGCCTCTATGGATTGGACTGAATCTGAATCTGACCAAAGATCTGATCTATCAAAAGATCATTAAATCTTAATGGGAAAATTTACCATCTTAAACATGGCTGGAAATGAGAATGCACATTGCTATTTAAGATTGTCCGAAATTCCACTCTATAGGCTTTGTTATTTTTTGGGTTTGTTCCATTCTAAAATCACAGTTTCGCTTTAATGCCAGCTTTATAGTGAAATACACATTTGAAAGTTTGTTTACGTATATTATTGTGTATAAAAATATTGTAGTCTTACCCTATTTTATTTTTTAAGTATTAATATTATTTATCAACAACATGTTATTGTAAAGTTGGGACCAAAGGTTGATGTCTTATATTGGTGTTGTTGCATTTATACATTATGCTCATCATATCTAAGATTTAGTGAATGTTTGCCCACATTAAACACAAACACTATGTATTATTATACAGGTTATGCTACATTATAAGTATGTATTTCAGCACATGATATTCATACCTGGAGTACATCATTTTTTGAAACAGACAACTGTAGATTTAGATATTTCTGGTGTAACATTGATTCAGTATTAACAAAAACGAAAGAATGTGTAATGTGAAGATATCTGGTTTTGTAACTATAATTTTGATAACAATTAAGTACTAATATATACAAAAACTATATATACAAAAATATATATAACAATTTTAATGTAAGAGAAAATAAAACTGTAACCAGTGCTATTTTATTCAATGTAATATTTGGTTGCTTTAACACAATTTAAATAAGTTTGCGGTAATAACTAACATATTATGAGAAAACAAACAAGACAAGTAATGTTTTAGTGTTAAATTTACTTACATACTTCCCACAGGCCTCATTGTTTTAACTAATTTTAGGTAATACTGGCTCAAATGCTGTTCAAACAAACGTTTTAAATTGATTCAAGGTTTGTTTATATTATACAGACACATTACATAGGTACGTAGGTAGTATGATTCTGAAAAACATTGCAGCAGCCGCGAATTAATTGAATTATGAGTAGCGCCTAGCGATAGTAAGACCGACTGTGTGAATGTTAACTTAAATAACGAAATAAACGTTTCTTACGAAGCTTATAAGTATAAACAATGAATCGGCTACCAAATAAATAATGGCAATAATATCAATTGGCATTTATACTTTTTATTTTAAAAAACGCGGCGGCGGGCGGAGCATACGCGATAGAACACAGAGTATCTAACGTAACGTAATATGGAATAATGGAATTCTAGATAATAAATAACACTTCGAATTTGTACAGTAGACTAGTCCTGTTTGAATGTGAGTTTTTTTTGCCTAGCTTACCACCTAGATGTTTGTTCTTGTTTTATTTTATTATTTTCTAAGATGTTATGGCTTTCAGTTCGTAGATTGTTAAAACTTAATCAAAAGCAGAGCGCGTAGTATACGGGAGACTCAGATCCAAGAGCTCAGTACGGCCCTCCACGTTTGGTAGGGCCGTGCAGAGCTCTCTATCACCTACGGGTCATCGAGGTTTGTTATAGCCCTGATCCTGATGGCCGTTAATTGTTTTAGTCTTCTGGAGGAAGTGAGAACGGCCCTGGAACAAGGATGTGCCTTGTGTAAACGTTGTGTCGGTTTTGGTTTCTCCCAAGAGATCTGGCTAGCCTACAAGGTAATCTAACCTAGCTTCCTATTTCAAAGAGTCAATGTTAAGGTACCAATTGGTTGTAGCGTTAGGCTGAGCCCAATTTATCGATACTGTCTTTTCATGTTTGACGTACTTATATAGAGAATATACGTTAGACCCGAAAAGAACGTACCGAAACATTTCACTCAACTGAACTAATTTACGAATGTGAAAGAGTTTCCGTCGTGGCCCTGCCTAGATAGTACCCAGTGAGTATAGGGGTGGGTCAGCTAACACTTCCATTATTTATCTGTGCACACTTATTCACTTTTGACACATGACAGTTCGTCCGTTTCAACTTTCTATCTCTTTCGCTCCCGCTCAGTTCTCAAGGTAGTGATAATTTCGTGGTTTTATGTTAAATTTATGAAATTATTGTTAAAAGAAAATAAATAAGATACTCTTTCAGTTAAAAACAACTCAAGGAATTCCTATATTGTTAAAACTTTTCGTTAACGGTAACGATTACTTCGATAAAACTTGGTGACTTTACCAATCTTCGTTCTTCAACGTTGTTGTTGTTACTGATGATTCCGAAATTCCTATTATTTAGTTTATATCAATCAAGTATTTTTAAAAGAATAATAAAATTGTGACAAGACAGTGCCTCTCTGTGTTTTATACGCAATTTTAGTGTTAAATATATTTTCTAACCTTAATTGTCAGATGAGATTTAACATTTGAGAACTAGTTTTCTACGGTCTTCATTATTCCAACACGTTACAGATGAGTACGAAGATCATCAAGCCAAGTGCCGGTGAACCCGACCCCTTCGAGACATCGATCTCGCAGGCGTTGGTTGAGTTAGAAACTAACTCGGACCTCAAGGCTCAACTTCGGGAGCTCTACATTACAAAGGCTAAGGAAATTGAACTGCATAACAAAAAGGTAATTTCATGTTAACATTAAGGCTAATTTGTGATTTTCTAGCTAAACTTTGATAATAGCTATATCTGTAATATTACAATTAGCCAAATTGATACACAAATATAATATGAAGTTACATTGTGGGTCCAGGGAATATAATATACTTTGATATGTTAAAATCAATAAATACCTACATAAAGTAAATGAATAAGGTATTGTTGCCATTTTGTAACTGTGTATTTGTGGAAACAATACATCCTTATGTATCCTACTATTAAATCCGATACTGTGTTAAAAGATGTTAAGTATCTTTAAATTTTTCAAGTAACCCATTTTTACAACCTCACAAAGTATTGAAATTTGGTATTATTTAAGTAGTATACAAATTAAGATTACTGCATGAATAGCTAAATGGTTTAATCAACATTCATGGTTTGAGATATGGTTTGATCCATATACACATAAACAGGTGTTCCATATCTGGGTGTTCTTTATCTCTGTGGTGTTCATGTTCGTCACATAATGTTATACTATTACACAGAAATTGACTAATCTTGCAAGGATTCCAAAGAGTGCATTATTACAAACTTTTCTTAACTTTTCAGTCAATCATCATCTATGTGCCTATGCCAAAGCTGAAGGCTTTCCAGAAGATCCAGATCCGCCTGGTCCGTGAGCTTGAGAAGAAGTTCAGTGGCAAACATGTAGTCTTCATTGGTGACCGCAAGATCTTACCCAAGCCCAGTCACAAGACCCGTGTTGCCAACAAACAAAAGAGGCCACGATCAAGGTATATATATAACTATCATACCTCTCTATATATTTGTCATGTAATGGTTGTAAAGATTGTTAGTGCGTATTATTACACACACTTATTCTCTCTAAGTGCCCAATGAATCTTTACTTTTGTCTTTGACTTCTTTAATAATAATGACCACTGCATAAGCATAACCTTATAAGCTCTGGGAGAACCATGGACCACTTGCCGTGTAACAAACATTGGGCTTAATTGAATTAATTTTTTGTAATAAGAAATATACAACAATGGATCCCTTGCATCATAGGCTATTATGAATATACTATGACTTGTAAATGTAAAAAAATTACATACAGATAATAACTGTTTGTTTACTTTCAAAATCTATGGATCATTCTCTAGTTTTCTCAAAATACTAGTTTTTTTTTATTACAACCATTAAATCTAGGTTAAACATCTGTGCTACATACCAATTCTTGTTTATTGCCTGTTTAATGTTTTTTTATTCATTTTAAATTGAGGAGCATCAGAATAAAAACTGATAAATCACATTTTTAGTATGGCAATCGGCAGTTTACGTACATATCTATCAAATAGCCATCTGGTATCAAATCTTAATGACAATAAAAACTTAATGTCTTTAAACTAATCTGAATATAAACCGATACATCAACAGAATCGTTCCATGATTGGAGCATACACTGACAAATCCGTATACATTTTAATGGGTTATGATTTTGGTTATTTGAAAACTGACAAATCACATTTTATAAAACCTGTGAGCAATGCGAGATTTAAACATATACATCTAAAAAATATGATGTTATACAGGGGTATGTACATCAGTCTGATTAAACAACGATAAATCCATTTTGTTTTTCAAAATTTTTCGTCTAATTTTTCGTCTATTCACACATAAATGTGTGAATTGGATATCAAAAACAGTGTTTATATACAAGACCTATAAACATGTAAACTTTGTTTTAATTCTCTAATTTAAATTTCTTGAAAAAATATGATATTTGATATATTTGTTTTTGTTCTTGTGTTCAATTATATTAAAAAGGTTTCATGCCAAAATATAATTTAAAGCTAAATGTTATTTCATTAAACAAGTATTTTAACCAAATTAAAATACTTGTTTATTGAAATAACTTGACCTCATAATTACAACTTGTGTTGCTAACATAGTCATAGTTATTTAATATGCAATTTTTTACTTTATTTCTGACTTCATTGAAGAACTGATTATTTGAACTATTTCCATGAAAGATTCACAAAGTAATTTTGGTCTACGCAAAACATTTTAATTTGTCTAATGAAGTTTATTGCCAAAATGAAAAAAAAAAAACAGAATTTGCATCAATGATTTCTTTATGTAGAAATTTCAGTAAGTGTTATTGTATCTGTATAAAATTATCGAAAAAATATTTGTTTTCAGGACACTGACATCTGTGTATGACGCCATCCTCGAGGATTTAGTGTTCCCAGCTGAAATAGTAGGCAAACGTATCAGGGTCAAACTGGACGGCTCACAGCTGATCAAAGTGCACCTAGACAAGAACCAGCAAACCACAATAGAGCATAAGGTATTTTTAATGTCTCATGTCAAATTAAAAGCGGTTTTCATTGCGCAAAAATGGGGCACTTGAAACCAAGAAGTTCATTTATTTATTTCTTTTCCCACGAATCAGTGTAAATTATTCCAAAAACACATTCATAATCCTCCACTTACATGAAAAATGCAGAATGTTGATATATTTTCTAATAATCAGTTATTGTTAAGTTAAATTTTATTATTGTTGTTAACTTCATCATCTCTCCGACACCGACCTCTCCAGGTTCTACTGAAAACCAGCAATCACGAAATTCTTCGATGTGAAATGCTGCGTGATGACGTCATTGTTATTTTTTATTTTAACTTGTGCCTCTCCATCACTGGAGGTTGGTCGTCAGCTTCCCGAATTCTTCTCTATCCATCGCCAGCCCAAACAACTGTTCTGATCTGATGATTCTGGTCCACTCCCTTAATTTCCTCAACCATGATTTATAATTTTTTCGCGTCTTTGCCTTCGATTTTGTCCATCATAATGAGTTGCAGCAGCTCCTACTGGTTATGTCGTAGGATGTGATTTTTTTACGGTTTGCCACAAAAGTCGCAACATCACGACGCCTTTTGATTTGTGGATCAAAAAAACACTGCAAGGTGGTAAATAAATTACGCAATGCTGAAGATACTGTACTTAATATTATTTTTTCGTTATATTCTTCAAGATTTATTTTTTGTCTCATGTCAATGATTCCAAAAGATGTAAAATTAAACCCCGAACATTCCATTAATACTTTTTGAAAAATCTTTAGTATTCAAATATTCTTGAATTAAAAAAAATATTTTTCAGTTTTCTTACTTAATTCAAAAATCTTGCACTGTCTTTGATCTTTACCATTTGGAATTTAAATATTAAAAATATATCCCTCTTTGTACTACATACATACATAAAATAATAACAACTTAATTGTTCGCAGGTGGATACCTTCCAATCAGTATACAAGAAGCTGACGGGACGTGAAGTCACCTTCGAATTCCCTGAGCCCTACTTGTAAACTTAAGGCTAAATTTACAATAAAACTAAAATCTTATGTTTCGTTTATTAATTTTACCATGTTATTTTTACTTTTGGCACTCACAAACTAAAAAAATGCTCTTCAATGCCTTTAAACAGAAGCGCCGATTTTTTAAAAACCTTAGAAAATAACAATAGAAACAATTTCCTAATGACTGATATCAAATGTAATATTATGGGAAAGAAGTTTTGTGTAGTAAGTTTGTGTTTCTATCAAAAATAGAAATAGAACAACCAAGCAGTTTTACTATCTCTCACACCAGCCGTTAGTAAATACATAAATTATATAACATTTTAAAAAACAAAAATTAGGAATGAATTTAATGAAAAAATGTGGTTTCACTACTTTCTTTTAAAAATAAAATAAAAAATGCTACACTAGTGGTGAAGAAATTTGTTTATAGACTTAATGCACCGCCGCGTAAAACCATCGATTCAGATCTCTACACCAATATCTCTACTACAACTGTCAACAACAACACGACATATGATATTAAGAAAAGCCTTTGGGCAATCAGGAAAAATTGAGAAACTTTAGTTGGGAAGTGTTTATGCATCCATCATATAGCCCACAGATTTCGAATGTGGTGTGATCCAAATATGCGATAAACATGAATTTATTATTGCTTCGTAACTCAGATGTAACATGAATATAGTCATCGTATCATAATATCGACCAAACTATAGACGTTTTTAGGTTCTGTACTCAAAGGGTAAAACGGGACCCTATTATGTCATTTACTACGCACATTAATAACGTTCGTAATAGAGCCGCGTTCGTCTCCGGCCGGCTACACAATTTCACTAATGCTAAAAGTAAAATGCCCTTAAGGCACAAATTATTATTATATAAGACCTGCGTACGATCTATTATGTCCTACGCATGCATGATCTTCGCCCACACGCACCCTACTCGCTTGTACAAGTTGCAAATAGTACAAAATAAGTTTATCCGCCGCGCAACCGGTGCGCAGTGGTTTCAGCGCAACGTCGACCTGCACAGCGATTGCAGACTCCCGACGATTCGCGCACATTTTAAAGATTTGACAAAACGGTTCTTCGATAGAGTCCAGCGTCACCCAACCCTCTGGTGGTAAGCGCAGCAAACTACCAACCGGACACTAACGCGAACGTAAACAAGCGTCGCCCGCGAAACATCCTCATCGACCCGGTCAACGAAGAGGGCTTAGATACGATGGACCCACCGCCGGGGGTCCCGCCGGATAACACTACACCCACAGTTAGTGTAACAACAATCACACCAGTTCGCCCTCGCCTCCGAGCACGGCGAGACCCACACACACGCGTACACAAGGTACACCCGCGTTCCGGGGCGGTTCTCACCGCTCCCAGCCACCGATTAGTTAATTGCACAGTCGACGGCCGTCGGGGTCTCGGTCCGAACCGCGACCTCGACGGCCCTTAGATGACACACCATAGTTAAACGCACGCATGAGCACATGCGCGACTCTACCCATAGCGGAGGGTCCAAACCCGTGGGTTCTGGCTAGCCCACCGGTTCTGCGTCCGATGAAGCTTTAATAGTCTCGGGACTGAAAGCAAAAACATCAGTTAATACAAGATACAAGAAGGGACCCTATTACCAAGACTACGCTATCTGTCACAAGGCTGTATCTTATGAACCGTGAGAGACAGTTGAAATTTTCAAAGACGTGTTTCTGTTGCTGATATAAAAACAAATACTAAAAAACAATATTTTATGTGAGAAAGTGAAACGACCTTGATGTTAAGTGATAACCGCCGTCCATGGACATTTGCAACACCCGTAGAGTTGCAAATGCGTTGCCATCTTTAAATAAAGTGGACCCTGGCTACCTCACTCACTCGACGAAACGCTGAAGTGTAACACTTCTTTACGCCGGTCTTCTGTGACGTCGTGGTACTTACCCGGACGGACCTGAATATTCGTGCAACAAATAAAATATTTAAATGGAATTTCCATACAATGGACATGATTTTTGTTGTCGTTTTTATAGATAATTGTGCGGAACCCTTCGTGCGCGAGTCCAACTCACACTTGGCCGATTTTATTTTATTTCTAAAAAGATGATTATGACTCTCGAGAAAAATCACATCTTTCGACAACATGGCGGGAAGAGCAGTTGGTAAGGTAGGCAAAATTTACACACAATACGTAGTCAGCGTTTATGCATCAGTAAACAATTTGGAAGGTCAAAAGAACATTATTTAAAAAAAACTTTATTCATTGTAACAATTTACATATCGTACATTATTTTTAACACTGTACATCAAATATTTCGCTCCCATATCCACTTGTAAACAGAGAGAGCACACAACGCAGAGTAAAAGCAAAGAGACAGCAAAAGAAGCCAGAAATGCATAATCAGTCATAATAAAAATAAGTAACTTATATAAATCCAACATAAACCAGTTTATGTTATAAGATAGGTATAGTATATTTGGGTAGTTAATTATTTTGATTCAACTAATTGTATATCATACAATTATGTTAGCAAACATAGCAGTGCCAACAACATTTATTATCACTGGAACCAGATTGTGCAATATCTGTATCCAAAAGACTTACCACTATTACCCATCCAACTAAATGTATTAAATTTTACATAAATTAATATTTAAAATAATAACATACACACAAAAAACCCTGCAGTAAATTTCAGGTAACGCCTTCTTAGGAGTATACCGCTATCGAGACTTTGTTTGTTCTAAGATTCTTTACGGAATATCTTTATTCTTGATGGAATAAATTAAATATCGTGGGGCACGATCTCTAGCTACCCGCCGTGGTCAGCGCTATGGTGGACAGCGAGAGGTCGTGGGGTGCCGTCCTTGCATTCTGCGAGGGCATAATCACCCGGAAGGAGGCCGCGGAGAGAGAAAGGGAGGCAACTGCCACCCTGCAAATCCGCCGCCGGAGACCAGGGCGCAGGAGGCTGGCCTACGCGTGCAACCTTCCCCCCTGATAGCAAGCCCCGGGGCGGCAGATGTGGGACTAACTGCTGCCCCGCGGAGGGGGTGACAGGGATGCCGTGCTCATTGCACCGACACGGCACCATTTGGCTGGACCGGGTGTCTAAGCACCCGGGGAGACTAGGCCTGAGAAGGCCACCGTCGCGCCAGGGTTCGCGGAAGATTGCGTTTTCGTGTTTCCGTGTCCCCGGCAAAGCGACAGCGCAGGTGCAACGTGGGTTTTTTAGTGGGTGCCCTGTAACTCCCACATACCCCTGCTGCCTACCCCCCACAAGGCGGCGGGGGATCCATAAAGGATTTTTCGCACGTAAAAAAAAAAGACAGTAAAGCTCACTCGTAATACACTTCAATAGGGATAAGAACGTGCAGCGACAGATCATGGTATCGATAATTCGCTACATGCGCACGTATGGTCGATGAGTCATTGTGGTCACTACCGCTCGTGTATCGCTAGCTACTGATCGGTCGTGACATTGTGCCACTGCAAAGTTGTTGTTTTGCTATTAAGTATACGGGAGCAGTGCTAGCTGAGTGTCCGTCTTTAATTCAATGTACTCGGGCAACCTGAGTTCGATCCCCGATGTAGGCGGTGAATGAAAACATCGTGAGGAAACCTGCATATTTTCTAAATAATAATACGAAAATATTTCGAAGATACGTGAAGTCCGCCAATCCGCAGTTGGGCCGCGTGTTGCATTGGGCATGTATAGACTGTTCTTTACTTTTATACGTATTTACAACATAACATATACACCAATATATATATATATAAATATATCCTAACACTAATTTTACATTCATGTGATATCTCATTAATTTATTTTCTAACGTGGACCTGAAGAAGTTACAAGGTTACAAGGGGTACAATTACATTTAAGATAGCAGATGTTGCAAGCCTACACAATAATGTTACACACAGGAAGACTGAGTCGAGGAGTTTATAATTTCTGACTTATGGAAGGCCATTTTGAGGGATGAAGCATCTACAGGACGATAAAGAGAACGAAGATTCCGATGAGGAAAAATAAATGTTACATATATATAAATATAACATTTATTCAATATGTACTTCGCACGGATGCAAAGTACATATTGAGTTTCTCGGCTTTTCACTACTATAATATGCAAGTGTACAAGCGTATAAACATCGGGAGCGTGTATGTTTTATACTATGTAAAGATTTATTACAAAACGGCCCTCTTCAGGGCCATAAAACTATCTACTATCTTTCTATATTATCATTATTTCCCTAATCGTTATGCGCTTTTATTCATCTTACGCACATCACTATGTGGATCCATAAGAAAGATAACAGCAAGCGAGACAGACATAAAGAAATTATTTATTGCCCGACGACTCAGTTACGCAATTGCCTGTTGAATTGGGTCCACACGGCCAATTTATAGCATACCCGTTCTCATCATTTGTCACCAGTGCTCTAGAACTCTTCTTTATAGAACTTCTCCAAGTCTTCTGCGGGGGGTTCCGTAACATTTTTGTCGACGGCCGTCTCGCTATGTGGCCTGTCGTCATTGATGCAGGGTCTGATCACTTTTATGTAGTTGACCGGCACGAGACCGGCGGTCCGTCCGTCCGTAGAGGCCATCAGCCAGCCGGAGTTCCAAAGGTTGCCCTGGAGGTGCTGCGGCGCCAGGGTCAGGACCTGGTTGGCGCCGAAGCTGATCTGCTGCGGCGAGGTCGCCTGGAAGGGGAACTGGGCGACCGCCCGCAAAGGAGTCTGCCACGACGTCGGATCGTTGACTGGAACGTACGAGGAAATTGCGGAGATATAGTTAAATATTTAAAAGGTGTAGATAAATTGACAAAAAATTTCACTTTTTTTTTTTATGTGTTAAGGCGGCAAGCGAGCTGATGATTCACTTGATGTTAAGTGATAACCACCGGCCATGGTCGTTTGCAACATCCGTTGCCAACTTTTAATAAAGTGGGCCCCGGCTACCTCACTCACCAGAAGAAACGAAGAAGTATAACGCTTCTCCTTCACGTCGGTCCCCTGTACTGTCGTGATATTTCCCCAGACGGGGAATCCCAACCATCAAATCTACCCATTCTTGCAACAGCCAACCGCTGCGTGGACCTACCACTGTTTGTAGCTGTGTCTGACGCTTTGAACATTAAGCTAAGCATCGACCGCTATCTTCTCGAATAATGTCACAGGTGAAACATTTTTCGACAATTTAGCTACACATTTCAAGGTTCATCTTTTATGAAGGGAGTAGCAATAGAAAATATAAAATTTAAATATAGTTATTATAAATACATTAAAAAAACGAATGTATTAGCTTAAACACAGTGTGTTCAGATCGATTCGAGAATGGATTAGATTCACAATTCGGTCCATTATTTTTTTTAATTAATTCATTATTCATAACTTGTTTTCGTCTGTCGGGTCCGCTAGTTTGTATATAATATAATTGAGTATAGCTCACGTCTCTCGTTGATGCTCGACGACAGTCCCTTGAGCATCCTGAGAACGATGTAGGGTGCCGCCGCGATCACGCCGAAGAACAGCAGTATGGGCCAGCTCGAGCCCTTGGCCCTCTGCTCCGCCGTGGCGGTGCCCGACTGCGTGGCGGCCACCGCCTCTGCCCACGCCTGTGGACATACGCCAGTCTTACTCATCCACACGAAATTTGAGAACGTGTGAATGACAGTAGGCAGCGGTCAGCGCTCTATCAAAGTCGTGTTAGAGTAATATAAGAACTATCGCATTTTTATACTGGCCATTTCAAGTGGAATGGAACAAATATTGATTTAATGCCTTACTTATTAAATTTTCCTAATAGTACCTATTATGTATATTACATATAATAAAAAAAAACTTATATTCATAAACATTTATGAAGTAAGAAAGAAGTTATCAATTTATTTTGTTCTCGTGACTGATAAGGATAATCGACAAGAAAAATTTCAATACGTAACATTGCCCTACAGCGCACTCTGATATCGATGATGTATGCATAAATTATCTCATTTTCGCCTATAAATCAGTTTTGAAATATGGTTTCGACAAGGTTAACTGAAAACTGCGTAGTGTTATTAGTAATAAATTAAATGGTTTACATTTTAATAAATACTCATTCTTGCTATTCATTCATTTTCACATTTCGTTAGAATAGCAGAGAATTTTTTTTATGCCTTTTGATATACACAAATATAAAAAACACACTGTTTTGGCATGTTTTTTTGAGTTTTTTGTTGGATCTGGAGTTTCTTGCTTGTCCTTAATATTGAGAAAGAGCAAAAATATTTTCATATACAAATATTTTAAATACCCTTTTTTATTCATATAAATAAAAGATATAGCGAATGGAACTGAGTTTCAACCGGGTGTCTGTAAGACAACAGTCTCTTTATCTTATCAGTTACATTTCATGTAACGGTCCTCATATCTTTACGAATGTTTTTGTTTTCAGGCATCGGTCACGGGGCCGATGCGAAGTAGTTAATTTATTTATCAAATTATTAAAATTTACAAATACAAATCAATAACAATAATATGATAGTGTTAACTTTCATTGTAATTCTTATAATAAACTAGAAATTAATTTATTTTCAACATCTGTAGAACCAAAGTAGTAAAACGTACTAACGGATCCAAATAAAAAAAAATATAGAAGTCTGCTGTAGCACGTATATTATGGATAAACAACTGGAAAGATTTAATTAATACTTCCAAGTTTCATTTATTACAGACTTGGCCCTTATCTGAAATAAAGTATTGTGATTAATGTAAACGTAAACAAGTTTTAAGAAACGAAATTTTTTACAAACACTACACGTTGTGTCGTTCACTTGTGTTTCGTGTAGAATTGGGGTAAGCGGTATAATTGTTAACACAAGAAGCAACGCAGACTAAGATATTGGTGGTACAGGTCGCAGGCAGGGCCAGATTTAGAAGTCTGGCCCCAAATTATTTTCCAAATAAAATGGACAATTTTTTCAATCGAGTTTTCCAATAAATAATTTATTGTGAAGTATATGAAAGGGAAAGTTGTTTATTAGTTCGACAGGTTCGACCAATGTCACTGGTGATATCCTTTAGAACGTATTTTGGATAGTTCGATAGCCTTAAATAACTACTGTATTGCATAGCCAAAACTTCGTCCTTAAATGACCTCAAATGACTTATCAAAGTTCTTGTAGATCCTCCCGTCCCAGGGAGAGGTTTCTCCTGCACCACCTCCTCAGTAGTTACAACCACATTATTGACGATTTAGGTGTATATTGAGTACATATTTACCACATGGGAGGTTAAATAGCGAGGAATTATCTATTGTGTTTAGTTATTACATTTATTATAACGACGGCTCAAGTACTACTATAGTTGTACAAACAGCAGTTGGGATAGACTAACAATCAAACACTGGCCAGTTATTAGGTAAAAACAGAAACAACGGCCGTAAGTTATATTATCCATTGTTGTCCAATTTGATTAAAAAAATAATGGCGAAGCAATTGTATAGAGATAAATAAAAGTTCTTTTCCTTCATAATCACAGCATAATGACTATTGCATAAGTATGCTTGCTTGCCTTGAGTTTTTGCAAATCAAGTAAGAGCTAGCACTAATTCTGGCCATCTCAAGTGATTTATATAATAAAACTTTGCTAAAGCATCAGCATTATATTTAGCATAATACCTACATATTTTATTTACTTAAGAACAAATGAAGGACATAGATTATAATAACATTGTTTAAAATGCGAAAAAACAGTGTAGATATACAAAAAACGGTAAAATTTTCGTCGTTGTAGTAATTAGCCTTTAGCTTAGTGGTTAAAGCATTGGACGCGAATCTGGCGAAAATGTTTTCGTTTATTTAGTCCACAAATTTTAATATTTTCATTCATGTGTGCAGAGTAAAAATTTAAATAACCAGCAGTAATTAACCTGGAATATTCAAATAGTGAACGCAAAACGAAGTACAAAGAGTGGCAATGTCTCAACACAAGGTCAAACAGTCGAGGAGGTAAGAGAGACTGTTTGTTGACAATCCGAGCTCACACTTTAAGGTTGTAGGCGACAGGCAGGCAGAAAAGTAAATTATACTCTAAATTTTATATAAACATCTAGCTTTCACTTCCAAGTACTTCCAAGTAGAACAGTTTGGATATTGTTTGATATGTCAACAAAGAGAGAGCCAAAAAGATATGCTGAATGATTTCTTTAACACGTAACTTAAAGCAAACATAGTTTAGTACGCCCTAATCAGAGATTGTGCACAAAACCTTGAAATGTTTTCCTGACAAATAATTCCTCAGCTGGAATAAAAAGGTGTACAGATTTGGCATTCAAATAGCAACCAATGTTGCTAATATGCAACAAATCATACAGAACATGCAGAATAATCATGGCAATAGCACACAACCCTGTGAGAAACCACCAAGCTGGAAGATCTGGGAAGAAGACCTGCAGAGGCGAAAATCTTTCCATTTTTTTTTTACAAATTTTAATAATAACAAATTCCCATTTGTGGGTTTTTTTGACATATTTATAACAAAAGATAAAGTACAATAGCTCACCTTGAATTCATTCTCAGTCCTAATACCCAGAATTACAAGCAGTTTCCTCACCAGCCAGTTCAGAGTGCGGACCACTGCAAAGGTCGACCAGAACTGAGCAAATAGTGACCTAAGTCTTCCAAAGTTTTCTGCTACACCTACAGTATATTAAAAAAAATAAAAAAATATTAACAACACTAATTTTAAATAATTATATTGTTATGTTGAGTCTAATTAAAAAAACTGGATAATTTTTCCTTACGGTTTTAATGTTTTAGAACTGTAACAAAGAAATTTTTGTCCTTATTTACTATAAATATGGTAAAGTAACTAACCCAATATAGCTCTAAAAGATGTAGTCATAGCAAAAAATGTATTTTCCAACATCATGGCCACACTACCAATAGCATTTACAAGACTCTGTATTGAATCAAACGCTGGTCTTGAGTTTTCTTCAGCCATTTGTATAAATCTACAATAAAAAACAATTGTAACCTTAATTAAGCCAAAGGATTTCCTAAAATTATTCGATAAATATTCGATATTCGTAAAATTTCAGAATAGCGTAGTTGTTCAGGAATTGTTAATGGATTTATGCTTACATTCAAAATATTCTTAAATTACCAGAAATTATAATTATTGTAAAATTTGTTTGTGAAAATATCACCTGCTTTCAATATCCCCACCATACATTTGTCCATATCTATTGAAACCTCCATAGTGGCCTCCCATGCCCATGCCCATTCCTCCCATGCCATATGCGTTCATTCCACCGTAGCCATAACCACCATGTCCACCCATACCATAAGATCCCCCCATTCCATACGAATATCCAGGATTCATTCCTCCATAACTTGTTTGCAGGCCTAAATCAGGACAAGGGGGAAGAACTGGTGGTCCAACAATAACGGTCGATGTTGATGGAATAGGATTTCTAAATGATGGTCCTTCCAAACCGTGCGATATAGCGGAATTTGATAAGTGAGGGTCAGAGTTTACTTCAAAATCTTTCACTGGTTGACTCATATTGTACCAATGATATATTTTCAATTATAAAAACAAAAAATATTTAATTCAATATACTAAAAAAATCTAATAAATCCATTCATATAAAATACTGAATTCAAAAATAAGACTTTTAAAAGTAAATAAGTGAATATATAAAATTTATTACACGCATTTAACAAGGAAGGAAATCTTTCAACTTTTATTGATTGAAGTTTTGAAGTTTGAACCATAGTCCATAATATTTGACAATGACAATTGACATTTAAATCGATTTTTTTTATTATTGTAGTCAAACTTCTTCGGATTTCTCCATACAGATAATTCATCAACAGTTATTCATTCCAAATTGAAAATGAAATATAACATAGATATTTAGATGTAGATGTCATCAGGCAACAGCCTATTATAAAAAGATATTAATGGTGTCATTATGTAGTATGAATGGCGTACATTAAAAAAATAGACAACGCAAATGTGTATTATTATTATATTTGAGAGAGGTATGAATGTCCATATTTTATTAATAAAAAAAACCCTAAAGTATAATATTCAAAGTATAAAACAAGATACGGGTTCGTAAGAAGAGGCGGTTATGCACTTGATATGATACTGGACCAGCGGTGTCAAAAATTATATGACCATGATCAGATAATGTGACCATATCCTCTACCTAGCTGCCCAATACCAATTGTATCGCAGAAGGAGACACTCATATCTCTTTCTGCTACATTATTGGTATCCATATACCATGGCCATATCATTTTTTACACCGTTGGTCCAGTATCATGTTTAGTCACCGTGATGTCAGGCCGGCGCATCATTAGTGTATCAAGTGGCTAAATCAGAACATACTCGGTTGCTGCTTGGCTAAGAAATGCTGACGGGGTTTGCAAACTGGGAAACACGGGAAATATTCCAACTTCTCGCTGTTCATTTGCGGAGCAGGTGCTTGTACAAGAAAGCCCAAAGAAGACTCGTGTTGGATAAGATGGGCAAGCTGTTCGAGTATTCTTGCCGCACTTCCTAATAGTTATCTTACGCGCATCAGCCACAATCGTTCACAGACGTGATGACTCACGTCCTCTCCCTGTCAGATTAGGTGGTTTTGCAGGCCGGCGACAGCACTGGCGATAAGTTTAGTGATCGCCATTATCATAAGGCCATCATATAGGGACTTTCATGTTACCAAGTGACCCCCATTTGCAACGAGTTATCCTTATATATAATTCTACTGTACGTGTGTATGTCCTTGAACTCCTCTTAAAAGGCTGGACCGATTTTAATGAATTTTGTTTTAGATTCCAAAGTTTTCAAAAAAGTTTGAAAATCGAGAATTTAAGACGTGTATACAGGACAACGTCTGTCCGGTTCACTAGTCACTACATGGTATAAAACAAAGGTAGCTAGCGAGACGCTAGTCATAACTATTTTATACTTGGGCAAAGTTGGCAAATAGATCCGAAAGGAAATTTATTATGGAGTTCTATAGGGTCTGTTCTCAGCATGTTAATGTATGGAATGTGGCATATGATGCAGTCCTGCTTTTCAATCTCACCGCTAATTTGAACGTCGTTCGCTATATGAAGTCTCTGACTGGGGTACCACCATCCTGGTAGCGCTCCCTCGAATTGCTGGAACCAGTGAAAAGGGTATTTTACTTTTTTCTTTGTAAAAAATATTTGTTTTATTTTAAAACTTGAAAATACATATTATTTTTGTATTTCCAAATTTTATATTAGCAAAATATTAATTAGACGCGAATGGCCGTGTGGTGTCGGCGTAAGAATAAGCCACCCCATCTCATCCCGTGGGTGTCGTAAGAGGCGACTAAGGGATAAGCCACAAACATCCAGTGGCCTCCGATAGATGGCGGGATAACCATCTTAACTCTCCAGACCCAAATATCCAGGCCAATAACGGGCAGCAGCGTTGAAGGTGCGAGGTGTCTGGAAGAACTGCGGTTGCCAACCCGCTCGCCAAGCGTGGCAACTATGGCAAAAAAAAAAAAAAAGAAAAAAAAAAAAAGAAAAGAAAAAAAAAGAAAAAAAAAAAAAGAAAAAAAAAAAAAAAAGAGAAAACCCCTCATGTATGGAAGTCCAAGGTGTACGGCCCCCAGACCCCGGCGGCCCTGCTATTCCTGGCTAGGGTAGCGGTCATGATAACGGCAGGGCAGGGGGTGCTAAGAATCCCCGGCTAGGATTCGGCTACCAACAACGGCGACTGGACCTGGCAACATACAACGCAAGAACATTGAGGACTGACGAGAAGATTACAGAGCTGGAAGAAGAGGTGAACAGGCTGCGCTGGGATATAATAGGATTATCTGAAGTCCGAAGACAGGGGGAGGACACGATAATCCTCGAATCCGGCAACCTGTTTTGCCACCGGGAGGGCGACCAACTGTCCCAAGGAGGTGTCGGATTTATCGTCCACAAGTCTCTCATTAACAACGTTGTTAAAATCGAGGGTGTGTCGTCGAGGGTTGCGTACCTTATACTCAGAATATCCAAACGGTATTCGCTGAAGGTCATACAGGTCTACGCACCAACGTCGACACATCCCGATGATGAGGTGGAGGCAATGTATGAGGATATATCCCGAGCCATACATTCCTCCAAAACTCAATACATGGTGTTAATGGGAGACTTCAACGCCAAACTAGGCAAAAGGAAAGACGATGAGCTGAGAGTAGGAAGTTTTGGTATAGGGCAACGGAACCCAAGGGGGCAGCAGCTGGCTGACTTTATGGAGAAGGAGGGACTCTTTATGATGAACTCTTTCTTCAAAAAGCAGCCCCACAGGAAGTGGACCTGGATTAGCCCCGATGGTTCTGTAAAAAAACGAGATAGACTTCATTATGACGAACAAACGGCAAATATTCAATGATGTCTCTGTGATCACAAGGGTGAAGACCGGCAGTGATCACAGATTGGTGAGAGGCAATATTAATATCAGGCTGGAAAGATCTCGTCTAATGAAGTCCACACTCCGACCATCTCGTGCCCATATCCAGAACTCCGAAAGCTTTCGGCTCGAGCTACATAATCGCTTCCAATGCCTAGAAAATTGCAGCACTGTGGACGATATTAACGCTAAGCTCGTGGAAACTGTCCATGCCGTGGGCCTTAAATTTTATAAGGCCCGCCGCACAAATAGAACGCACAAACTCTCCGATCACACTCTTAACCTCTTGGGAAAAAGACGTGAGATGCGACTGCAGTCTTTAGCTGACATGTCAGACTACAGGCGGCTTAATAGGCAGATCTCCAAATGCATGCGTCGAGCCTTACGCATCTTCAATACAGCTCGTATTGAGGGAGCTATAGAGCGGAACCTAGGCTCAAAAGTCTTCGCCAGAGATCTGTCTATCGGACAAAGCCAACTGACCAAGTTGAAGACTGACAGCGGGGCTGTCATCTCCAGTAGACCAGAGGTTTTGAGTGAGATTGAGAGGTTCTATGGACAGCTGTACACATCGTCGTTGGAGCCACACACATGTGTGAGTTACGACCCAAGAGCAAAGCTTATCGACACTATTCCGAGAATATCCCGGACGTCAGTCTGAGCGAGATTAGAATGGCTCTCGACCATCTTAAGAATGGCAAAGCATCGGGAGAGGACGGAATTACAGCAGAGCTTCTGAAAGAGGGTGGAGAACCGGTACTTGTAGTCCTTCAGAGGCTCTTTAATTTCGTCCTTCAGGGTGGTGCTACACCAGAGGCGTGGAGCAGAAGTGTGGTGGTGCTGTTCTTCAAGAAAGGCGATAACGCTCTCTTGAAGAACTATAGACCGATATCCCTTCTGAGCCGCGTCTATGTGCTGTTCTCAAGAGTCATCTTGAATCGTCTCGCTTCCAGACTCGACGACTTCCAGCCTCCCGAACAAGCCGGATTCCGAAAAGGCTTCAGTACCATAGACCACATACACACCTTGCGGCAGGTTATACAGAAGACGGAAGAGTATAATCTGCCTTTGTGCCTAGCGTATGTGGACTATGAGAAAGCCTTCGATTCTGTCGAAATTTGGGTACTCCAGGCTCTTCAGCGGTGCCAAATTGACTATCGGTATATCGAAGTGCTGAGGTGTTTGTATAACAAGGCTACGATGTCCGTCCAAGTACAGTCCAGTAGTACAAAACCTATCCATCTGCAGAAGGGTGTAAGACAGGGTGATGTCATATCCCCGAAACTCTTCACCGCTGCGTTGGAAGATGTTTTCAAGCTTCTGGACTGGAAAGGACGAGGTATTAACATCAATGGCGAATACATCACCCACCTTCGATTTGCCGACGATATAGTCATCATGGCAGAATCGCTGGAGGACCTGGGTGCTATGCTCAATGACCTCAACAGTGTCTCCCAACGGGTGGGCCTTAAGATGAACATGGACAAGACGAAGATCATGTCTAATGTCCATGTCACGCCTATACCGGTTGTCGTTGGGAGCACTGAGCTCGAAGTTGTTGACGAGTACGTTTACCTAGGACAGTTAGTCCGGCTAGGTAAGTCCAACTTCGACGCACGCAGAGGTCAATCGGCGAATCCAACTCGGATGGGCAGCGTTCGGGAAACTTCGGCAAATCTTCTCGTCGAATATACCTCAATGTTTGAAGACTAAAGTCTTCAATCAATGTGTGTTGCCAGTGATGACCTACGGAACCGAGACGTGGTCCTTCACTGCTGGCCGTATGAGGAAGCTCAAAGTCGCTCAGCGAGCTATGGAGCGGGCTATGCTCGGTATTTCTCTGCGTGATAGAGTTCGTAACGAAGACATCCGCAGTAGAACCAAGGTAACCGACATAGCTCAGAGGATTAGCAAGCTGAAGTGGCGATGGGCCGGCCATATAGCTCGTGGAACCGATAACCGTTGGGGAAGAAAGGTTCTCGAGTGGCAGCCTCGTACTGGCCATCGCAGTGTAGGACGACCCCCCACTAGATGGAGTGACGACCTGTGCAAATGTGCGGGAAGTCGATGGATGCAGGTGGCTCAGGATCGTACTTCGTGGCAGTCTGTGGGGG